AGACATTATTTGTATGGAGTCAAGTTCGAGGTTTTTAGTTATCATAAGAGTCTTAAATATTTATTTGACCAAAAATAATTGAATATGAGGCAAAGGAGGTGGATGGAATTTTTGAAAGACTATGATTTTGAACTTAAATACCATCCAGGAAAAGCTACTGTGGTAGCTGATGCTTTGAGCAGAAAATCTCTTCACTTGTCACATTTAATGGTCAAAGAAATGGAATTGTTGGAAAATTTATAGATATGAGATTATCTGTGACTGTATTGCCTCGAAGTTTAGGTATTAGTGAAATAAAAATAAATAATGAGCTGCTAGATAAAATTAGAAAAGCTAGATAAAATTAGAAAAGCTCAGTAGGAAGATTCTGGTTTAGAAAAATCTTTGAAACAGGAAGGATTTACTAAATGGGAAGATGGTTTGGTGAAATTTCAAGGAAGGATTGTTGTACCTAAGCAAGAAGAATTGATGAAAGAAATTTTGAATGAGGCACCTAGCAGTAAGTTCACAGTTCACCCTGGTTCCACCAAAATGTATCAAGATTTGAAAAAGATATTTTGGTGGCCAGGAATGAAAAAGGATATTGCTGAATATGTTTCAAAATGTCTAGTTTGTCAAAAAGTAAAAATTGAACATCAAAAGCCTTCAGGATTACTTCAATCACTAGACATACCAGAGTGGAAGTGAGAAAGTGTAGCTACTGATTTTGTGATGGGTTTACCAAGAACCCAAGATGGGTATGATGCAATTTGGGTAATCATTGATCGATTAACCAAATCTGCTCATTTTCTACCAATTAGGGCTTAATATTCTATTGAGAGGTTAGCCCAGCTATATGTAAAAGAAATTGTCAAACTTCATGAGGTACCTCTGAGTATTGTGTCAGATAGAGACCCTAGATTCACTTCTAGATTCACTTAGTACAGCATATCATCCTCAAACTGATGGTCAAACTGAGAGAATCATTCAAACTTTAGAGGATATGCTGAGAGCTTGCATCCTTGAACAAGGAGGTAGTTGGGGTAGATACCTGCCATTAATAGAGTTTGCTTATAATAATAGTTACCACTCTAGTATTGGAATGGCACCATATGAGGCACTCTATGGAAGAAAATGCAGATCTCCAGTGTGTTGGTATGAAAAAGGGGAAAAACAGCTATTGGGACCGGAATTAGTCCAAGAAACCTCGAGACAAATTCAGATGATAAAGAAAAACCTTGAAAAGGCACAAAGCAGACAGAAAAATTATGCTGATAATAAGCGAAAACCTTTGACTTTTGAAGAAGGAGAACATGTCTTTCTTAAACTTTCTCCTACCACAGGTGTAGGCAGAACCCTCAAAGTTAGGAAATTGAGTCCTAGATATATTGGTCCGTTTCAAATACTCTGAAAAATAGGGTCAGTTGCTTACCAACTCGCTCTTCCACCTCATCTTTCCAATCTCCACAGTGTTTTTCATGTTTCTCAGCTTAGAAAATATATCTCAGATCCTTCTCACATTCTTGATATAGACTCAGTACAAGTTAACGAGAATCTGACTATTAAGACCAGACCAGCTCAAATCCTTGATAAAAGTCTAAAGCAACTGAGGAATAAGATGGTTCCATTAATTAAATTACTTTGGGAAGGACTTTCACCACACGAAGCGACATGGGAAAGAGAGGAAGAATTACGACAAAATTATACAGAATTTTTTTAGCAGGTATATCAAAATTTTGGGACAAAATTTTATTTAGGAGAGGGGAAATGTAATATTCTAAAATAATAATTGTATAAAAATGGTAAAGTAATAATTAAATAAATATAAATATATATATGTACAAAATAAAAGAATAATAATAATGATAAAATAACATATATATACATACATATATATATTAAAGTATTAAATAATATAATAGTTATAATAAATAAAATAAAAACAATAATATATATATATATATATATATATATATATATATATATATATATATATATATACGTAAAGTAGCGCTGAATGCATTCTTGGGGAAGGGGCTGAACCTTTAACCATCACTGCTCCCCCGCACTCCGGATTAGTTCCATAGCCAGCTCAAAGAGTCGAAGCTCGTGGGGATACCGGAGGGAGCCAACTCGTCTCAAAGAGATAATTAGGATTGGGTAACTCTAAAAAAAAAAAAAAAAAGTAAAAATAATAAACAATATATATGTATACACGTAATGCAACAAAGTAACAGCTATGTAATAACTATATCATGATTTAGTACATCAAGGAAATCTCGAAATGCTGTGTGTGCTCTAAGTGATAAGGTTGTTCAGATTTTTTTTTAAAGTAATGATTATATCGTTACAATTTAGTTAGAAACTAAATGAGTTAGTTATATTGTTAAAATCTAACTAAATGTAATAATTAAAGGAGTCAAAAGCAAGTCAATGAACTTGCCTCTATATAAATGGAACACATAATGGAAACTAACGAAGAGAAAGAACAAAGACAGTAAGAGAAGAAACGTCATCGGAGAAGAAAAAAAAAAAAGAGAGGGAAGGATTCACATCGAAATAGGAGAGAAGGAGTATAGAAAATAAAAGAAAGGTAATATTGAGAGATAAAAACTTTCTCTCATTGCTCTTCTTTTTACTATTTCTTTTAAAGATTTTTTTTAGTACCGTTACTTTGCCAATTTCCTTTTTTAAAATTCTCTTCTACTTGTTGTTATTCCTACCTTTAGTTTATTTATTTCATTCTAAAATTCTTACTGCTTTGCTAATCTTTCCAGATTCCTAACTTGTCTTTTTGTGGAAAAGGATGGAATATTACTGTTAATTTTTATAGTGACCGTTGGGAATACTATATTGTGATGGGGAATCAAGGAGCTGTAGCTGTATTTTATCCTGACAGAGTGGAGACTTATGCGTATGCTTTGGACTAAACAAGGATCATGTAATAGTGTGTGACTGAAGAATGTTTTATATATATATATATATATATATATATATATATATAGTAAATTAATGTAATCTGATGTAGGATGTAGGACTTATGTAAAATAATGATGTAAGTTAGGAAGTAAACTAAATATATATATATATATATATATATATATATATATATATATATATATAGGAAGTGTGTACAAGTTTATGTAAGAATCCACATCCATGTTTATAAAATGAAGGATGTTAGTTCTAGTTAATTAGTTTTCTTCACATGCGTTGGCACAATCTGTTACGTTTTTGTTTTACTTTTATTAAAATGAAGGATGTTACATTTTTTGGTATCAGAGCAACGGTTCAGGTAAATAAAAGATCTAAACTATTATAGTTGCTTGGTATTTTGTCATAGATCATGCCTTATATATATGTAAGGGGGTTCTTTTGATTCCAGATTGAGACTTTAAGTATTACTTCCCATCTTAGGTGTTGATAGATGGAAATCAACTATTGTTATTTATAGTTTAATTAATAATTAATTATTAACATGACTTCTTAAATGATAACTGTTTGATGGATAAAAATCAATGACTACGATAGGGAGTAAGACTTATAATGTTATTTAAATATTTTATTTATTTAAAAGATGACTTCTTACTCTGGAGTCTAATGATCTCTCTCCGTATATGTATATATATTATAATGTTATTTAAATATTTTATTTATTTAAAAGATGACGTATTGAAAAAGGGTCCCTTTTTTATATATGTAATATAAAAGATAGGAAATCATTTTCTCATGCAATAGGAGATAACTTTCTTATGTTGTGAGACATTGAAATCTGTGTAATCCTTTTTGTTTTTTTAACAAGTGGTGGGTCCCACCACTTGTTGTATCTTTGGCATGAGAGATGCAACCTCATGTGACATGAGAAAAGAGAAACCCATAAAAGTTTACCTATATATTATAGTTATAGTTTCGACAGTGTCGTTATTATATGGGTTTTATAATTCTCAAGTTACATGAAAATTGAAATCTTATATTGTAGAGACAAAAAGTATGTAAGACTCATGTGTTAGAAAAAATTATGTGTAAGACCCACGTCAGCACGGAAATCGAAGGGTGTGTAGGAATATTTCAATTCTCATGTTGAATGAAAATTATAAAACCCTTATTAATTATTATATATATATATATATAAAGAGTCCATTTTTTTCATGTTGCAAGAATTCTTGTACAAAAAAAAAAATAACGATATATTACAGATAATACATAGTTATAAGGGATATATAAAAAAAAGTTTAATATTATAACTATGTACTATTTGTAATACATAGTTTTTTCTTTTTGCAGAAATTTATAACTATGTACTAAGTTATTTTTTTGTTACTGGAATTCCTGTGACATGATAATTTTTTTTGCGATATAAAAAATAAAGACATATTACGTTCTTGATAAGAATGTGATTCAACCATAAAACTGAACTAAAACCATAGAACAAAAAACTTGTGGGAAATGACGCCGAGAAAAATAAAGAGTAACGCTAAAATGAAAAAACAAAAACAAAATGTAATTATAATACTTATATGTTGTTGAATTGTAATTACCAAAAAGTATATCAACAATGAATTCGATTTATTTTTCATACTTATATTTAATTCAAATTTATTAAAAAGTACGTATATCATATTTAAAATGTTTATTTATATATATAATCAATTGTTACATTATCTTCTGAAAACTTAAATTCATAACCGAAACAAAACCAATAATTCAAACGAAATATATATTATATATGTAACATACAAACGAGGCAGAATAGCGAGTCATTTAAGGAAGAAAATCCCCAAAATTGGGATTCCAGTTATGTAATTGCGAATCTATGCATCCTGCAATAACATTAGCATAAAGTTATGATGATCTACATTTTGGGGAACTGAGGCAAAACAACAGTACATACGCAGTTCAAAGCAATGAAAGAATTGGAAGACAAATTACAAAGATGGAACAGCACAAGCATTAGTAATTAGTAGTCTTCGCAACACAATCACACGCACGCACGCACGCACTTTCCCGAAAATGAATTAATTTCAGTGAACGGGGGAAGCGTCTTTTCCAGAGTCGTAAGGAATTCTAGTAACCCTAATCCAATCATCTCCATGGAAGAACCTGGTTGGTAAGAAATTTGTTGCAGCTACTGAGTTAAGTGTCTTAACCCCTTGCCATTTCACTCGCTTTGATTTGTCTGAACCAGGGCCACGGTTGTTGTACTCAGCATAGAAGCAAGTGTTCATTCCTGAAAGACCCTCCAATGATTGCCATGGCATGTAACCATCGGGTGTGATCAAATCACCAATGTATGTGTCCATGAAGATTGCCCTTGAGAAATTTTTCCATGGACGTGCAAGGTAGGCTTTGTTATCGAACCTAACTGGGTAGTACTTTGGGTCTGACACAATGCTACCTCCTTGGATGATTAATCCTGATGGTTGGCTCCTCTCCTTCCTTCCCTGTGCGGTCACGATGCATTGTTGGTTTTCCAATGGCTTTCTTACCACGAATGTGCAGTTTTGGAGAACTGCTACTGCATCACCAAAGACGAAGTCGATGGTACCTGAAATGATGCAATCCCTATAGAATTGACGCAAGGTGTGGACATAGAGTGTGTCTTGGTAACCATCCATTCGGCATTTGTAGAAGATGGACTTGTCAGCTTGAACCCTTAGGGCTACTGCTTGATGTTTTTGTGGACCAGCAGAGTTCTCAAACCCGATACCCAAGGCAACGAAGTAGTCTCCAAGAACAGCTGCATGCATGCATAAACATTGCATTAATCCATCATCATCATCACTCCAAAATTATTAATAGTACACTAGCATTTTGTAAAAATCTCCTTCAATTTATTAAATGGTCTAGTTTTATAGTATATGATATATACGGGAAAAGTGTTTCTCTTGTCCGGAGAAAAATTTCAAAAAGATGTTATTTTGGATTTAGAAAAAGAAATGCAAGGTATTTTACTATTGTATTGTGAATTTTATTAAAGAATCCTATATTATTTTTTTAAAACTTATTTTGTGTTGTAAAAGATAATTTATCTCATATTATAGGAGAAACCTAATTCTATATGATATATCACTAAAAGAATTCGACTCTGGTAATAGCTACATGAATTGGTGATAATAGAACAAAGTGGAAGAAAATTGAACTCTTTTTTAAAATGTAGCATTATTAATTTAATTAATTAATGCATGAACGAACGTTCATGGTAGAACTAACTTGTACTACAGCTTAAAGTCATATATTTAAAGTTTTATTGTGGGGTTAGCTTAAACGAAAGGAATAAATTGAAGGAGCAACCTAAGATTACCCCCTCTCTTTTTTTCTTTTTCTTTTTTTGTAGAAGAAAACAAACATTGGAAAGAAAAAGAAAGAAAGTAATGGTTAGCTAGCAGATTAATTATACGTACCAACAGTGGCGGTTCTGTAGGTACCAACTCCATCGATGAAGTTTTTGTTACCAGTGATCCTTGTCTTTTTGGCACCATCACCGATCATAACGACGTGGGTCATATTTCTGGAAACTTCAACGTACTCATTGTAAACGCCCTGCTTAACGTAGATAACGTATGGCTTTAGGTTTTTCATGGGCACCGACTTCAATGCGTCGTTGATGGTAGTGAAATTTCCAGTTCCGTCCTTGGCTACAACCACTTGAGCACCGAGTTTTCGCTGAGTCATCTTAAGGAGTTTACGAACACCAACACGATCATCGACCCAATCAGGAAGCTCAAAGTCATCGTGACCAAGAACTGCTTCGTCATCTGCATCCTGCAAGAGGCGGCGTGAAGGTTTTGTGATGTTCATATCTGTTAGAGTTTTGGAGAGTTCGGTGATGATGGAAAGGCCATTGCTGCTCATGTGCATGGCAGTTTTCAAGATCTCCTTCATCTTATTACCAGCTTGGGTTGTTGTGTTCTCAAACGCATCCAAACATGTTTCTTGGTATGTGACTGCACCGCTGAGCCAAACCTTCAAACTGGTGAGGATCTGGTCAAGATGGTTGAGATCGAATGTGCCGAATTTCTCAAGTGATCTCTTGAATTCCTCGATTGAGAGATTCATGAGTTGCTTGCATGTGTCGAGTGCCTCCTTCGTTCTAGGGTCTTTCTCAGCCTCATGCATGAGTTGTGTTTTCTCGAGTCCCTCACCGATTTTCTTTATGGTTATGTTAAACGCGATTTTAATGAGTTCTCTTGCGTCGGTGGTGTTGCCAGCTTGCGCTGTGAGACTCTCCTCGCATTCCTTCTTGTAATCTGTAGGTGCACAAAGGGTTTTCACAGCTTTCACGGAGGATGATACGTGCGATTTGCCGCTATCCTTTACATTTCCGTTTGAATCATTCTTTAGGTTGACGCTAACTGTGACGGCGACGACCATAGCCACCAGCAAGAAGGTGGAGACGCCAATGATGGCGATTCTCCTCCTCCTCTGCGAATCAGCTCCCCCAATCATCTTGAATTAAGCAGCTCCTAATCAACACCTTTCCTTCGTACACATACAGATTAATGTCATAATTAATAACGCATATATAAATTAATTAAGTAGTAAAAAAAACAAAAACAAAACATAATTTTGTGCAAATTAAATCATATGAACATAATTTTGTTAAAGCGTGATATTGATTAAAAATTGTGATACGTACAAGGCAAAGAAGGAGCCGCTCAGTAGGGAAATTGACAAGGGCGTGTTCAGGCTGATCAAATCCTCCGTCGAACGGGGTGAAATATATGTGTGTATTTATTTATATTTAGACGAAAGAACTATTTCAAAGTGGTTATGTCAGTTGTAAAAATGTGAGGCTTGGAGCCAAAAGAGGCATTTGTCTTTTTTCTAAAAAAGAAAAAGAAAGAAGAGACACGGAAAAACCACACTATATATAGCAAAGCTTTCGTGTTATTATTAATTTTTAGGGTTCTATTAGCTAATTAGAGAGGGGAAGGGAGGACCTTATTTGGCGGTTTTTGAAGTCAACTACCAAAATTCGTTCTTTGGTGCCCTTTCATTGACTTAGCTTCTTATGAATAATTTAGACAAATTAACCTCTACACAAATGTCATGAGTGTGACAACATGGCGCAGATATAAGCAACAAATGAATCTAGCCTGTTTACTTACTTAGTAATTGGTTTAGCCATTGGCTTGAGTTCTCGCCAATGTTTATATATATATATATATATATATATATATATATATATATGGAAAAAAAATGTTTGTACTTTTAAATGACACAACTTGTGTCGTTTCACTTTCTCAAAGAGGTGAGACTCACACCTTTATATTTTTTTGTTCACTCTCTCACATCTTTTATCTATCTTTTTCTCTCACTTAAAATGACACAACTTTACATCCTTTAAAATGATACACATTTTTCCCTATATATATATATATATCATTTTATATCGTTGTAACTTATATTTTCAAACTTATTTGTTAATCCTATTTATATCTAATAATTTTTATTTATTAGATATTTGAGTCATTAGATGTAAGCAAATCAATTATTAAAATTTGGTGTAAAAATAAGAATTCTTACACCAGTATAAGAATATTTCACCCATATATATATATGGACAAGATATTCTTACACTGTTGTTAGAATAAAAATTCTTACACCAAACCTTAATCATTGATTTGTTTATATTTAACTATTCAAATATCTAATAAATTAAAACATTTAGATATAAATAAGATTAACAATCACGATTGAAAATATAATAGAGAGAGAAAATAGTCAAGCTTGTCTCTACCGTATGATAAAATGACATTCTGCTTTCACAGCACATTTTATTCATTAATTCTAATTTAGGTTTGAAGAAAAAAAATCATGTAATTTAATAGAAAATTTTATGTTCTCAAAAGACTAAAATTACAACGAATTAACGAACCATTAAAGAAAAGAGAAAAGAGAGATGATTACAACATGAGAGAAAAGTAATAACGACGGAAACGAAAGAGAACTAATTTTATTTATTGTATTATTTAATGTGCAATTCAAAGCAAATCAGCATAGTAAGGTACTCCGGTTGCAGGCAGCCAAGCATCACCTTGTATGTAAAGAGAAACTGTGAAATTGACTGCATCTGTGGCATTGATGACATGGTACCCAAGCCAAGTAACCCTATTGCTAGTGTTAGATCCTGGGCCCTGATTATCAAATTCAGCATAATAAAGGGTGTCCAAGGCAAAATCCCCTGACCATTCTGTCCAACCCGAAGGATCGATGAAGCTATCCATGAAAGACTGCATGTAAACTGTTGTTGAATATTGCTTCCATGGCCTGCCTAGGTACGTTTTTGTGGTGCCATTACTAGTGGCTAAGTCACTAGCTGCGGTTATGTTACAATTGTGTATAGAAGTGCCAGTGTTTTGGTTAATATCAGTTCGGCCCTGTGCGGTAATGGCATTGAATTGACCGTCCAATGGGAGTCTTGGGTAGATATTACAGTCTTGCAAAACAACTGCAGCGTTACCAAATATGAAATCCACCGTGCCATAAATGTCACAGTTTCTATAAAATTGCCTAAGAGAATGTGTGTATAAGGTGTCTTGGTATCCTTCAAAGCTACAGTTATAAAATGCAGACAGGTCTGCCCCGCTTCGGAGTGCTACTGCTTGGTGATTAATTGCTCCAGCTGTGTTACGAAATGTTATGTTGACTGCCACAAAACCTTGTGCAACCACGGCTGTAGTGTGAAAATTAAAACTATATGGTTAATTAATTAATAATATATACTTTGTTGATCAAACTAATTGAAGTGTAAAATAATTTTGAAACAAAGTTAACAAGGAAAGGAAGCAAGGAAAAGTATAAATTATTATTACTTGTTGTCAATGTAAATGAAATAATTAGAGAATACGTACTTAAAATCTTGAGTAACGACTTATATCATACCTAAAAGTAAGATTCTTCATTACACGTGGTTTTAATTAATTGTTATAAGAAATTGAAGCAACCTCCTCATGCAATGCATGTGATTGGAAAAGGGCAAATTAATAACTTTAATCCTAAGTTAAAATAGAACGTGTTCTGGACCGCCTTATTAGCCCCAATTCGACGGTGTATATACTAGGATAAATATTTTCTTTTCACACCCAATCTCCTTTTTTCCTATGCACACGTGCCTCACACATAGGATAGGGTGAGCTACCTCAGCCTCAATAGAATTCATAGTGCAAAACGGGACATAATCGTCCCATGCCAGTAAATCTTCTCCTTGCTATATACACCTCATACCTATATCAAAAAAAAAAAATGTTGAGATTCAGTCTCACTACCGTCGTGCCCTTCACCTGCCCTCATACTCAATTTTGCCAGAGAGCTTAAATGATGATTCCATGACTGAGCTTTTTTTTTTTGGCATACCGGGCTTAATTATTTTCTTGAGACGAGTGGGCCTTTTGAATATTTTCATAAGTTTTAACTCTTTGAGCTGACTATGAGACTAATCCTAAATCAGGACTTAATCATAATTAAAGCTCCTTGTTTCTTCCCAAAGATGCATTTGATGATAATCGAACTCAGATTCTATTTTTACCTATTCAGCTTGTGTTAGCCAACTGAAACTACATTCATTGGATCCATGATTGAGCTCTAAGTCTAATCCATAATGTTGGCTCGCTAAATTACCGTTACATTGAGATACTCGATCCCATAAAAGGAAAAAGATCTAAACCCTTAATTCATAAACTGATCGGAATGAAAAAAGCTTGAGTTGAAGCTTACCAAATGTAGCAGAATTGAAGGTAGTCCAGCCAGCTGCCACGCTCCGATTACCCGTGATTATGGTCTGGTTAATTCCATCTCCTACCATCATCAAGTACTGCTTGTATTTGGGAACAGAAACATACTCTTCGTATATTCCAGCCACCACGTAAATCATGAAAAACCCATTGATACCGCCGGTGTTGTTTGGGGCTGCAGACACCGCATCATTGATAGTTGTGTAGTTTCCAGAGCCATCTGGGTTCACTACAACAAGTTGGTTCACAACAACATTGTCAGGATCCAACTGAAGCAGCTTTCTTCCTCTTCTGATGATACGCTCGTACATGAGATTATTATTGCTTTCTGCTAGTTTTCTTTCTTTGTTTACTTTGTTTGTCCATCCCCGCTTAAAGATGGCAAGAGATATACTATAAAACTTGGTTCCATTCGAAAGATGGCTTAGTAGGTCATCGTCAGGGCTTGACGCGGTTTGTTGAAGGCTGTCTAAGCAGGTGTCGTGGTTTGTCAAAGTAGCACTAATCAAGGAATGCAAATTTTCAGCTTCTGAGCTACTGAGGGTGTTGGTGGAATTGATACTGTGTAGAGTCTTAGACCAAAAATCTATATTCAGGTCACCTATAAGGTGGCAATCTTGAAGGGCAAGCATCGTTGACATAGAGAACTTGGAGGGAGATTTTAGGTATTTAGAGACTAATGAAAGAAACTTCTTTGATGATGACAAGGATTTGCTTGCGAAAAACCGGCCATATTCATGTATCTCGGCTTGGTCTTTTGAAGGTGAATTGGATTCGCAAAATGTTGGATAAGGTGTGAGGTTGCAAATGGTATCAGCAGAGGAAGAGGAGGATGCAAGAGACGCAAAGTTGATGAGAAAATAGACCATGAATAAGGTTATGGATAGCTCGGAAATAGCCATGGAAATTTTGACGAGGACGGATAGATTGCACAAGACCATATATATAACTTGCTAGTAAGGAGTTGTAGGTGTGAATGTGATTATCGGACAATCATGTTATTAAATGATCCGGGCCCTTATGAGAATTTGTTACGTAAGATTAAGAGCTTAATTACTTCCAAAAAAAAAAGATTAATTAAGAGCTTAATTTTTTTTTTTTCATTTTCTTCTTTTAATTATTTTTTTATATAATGATGACATTAAGATTTAAACTTTTAAGTTATAACCTCATACAAACTATTAAATCTCTTACCACTAGTCTACTCTTAATAGTTTTCATTTAATTACTTTTAAAATCCATTTAAAAAGGTTGTGAATAATATATGGCCGTATGCAACAACGGGAAATATTTACACTCCGGTAACTTAAAATTCATGTGAAAATTTTTAAAATATAAATTAGAAAATATTTGAAATTATAGGATATATATATATATATATATATATAGAACGGAATCTTATATATTAAAATAAAAATATTTAAATTTAAACTATATAACAAATAGACATGCATTATTCATATAAAATTATAAGTACTCCGGAGAGAATAAACTAAGATATTATATTAAGTTATTCTTAAGATACTATACTATATATAGTTTAAGGGATCTATTAATCTCATGTTGCATGAGATAATTATCTCATGCAATAGAGATAAGATTGTGGGGTATACTACTTTTTCAAAAAAGAAATAAAAAAAAAATAGTGGATCCCACTATTTTGTGTTTGTTACATCAGATAATTATCTCATGCAACATGAGATAATTAGTTCCCATAGTTTAATATATAAAACAGGATTGAGCTTAATGAGTACAGTTAAATAAATAAGTGAATATTGGTTTAGTTTAATTACCAAGTATTCCATGTATTAATTATTATACGGATTTTTTTTAATTAAATACACTTAAGAAAACATAAATTATAATAAAAATATTTTAAAAATATATGCATAATTAATTTAAAATATTTTTAATTTAGATTAAAAACTTAACTAGAGTTAACAAGCCATAAAGCTAAAATAATCATGGACTGGAAATGAAAACGCAAAATAGGGGAATGATCAGTACGTATTCCATTCCAGTCCGCGGTCCCTTAAATATATAATTGGGACTATTTTATTTTGTTTTTTAAAAAAAAAAAAAAAATCTCAATGTGTTTACATACCATTTACGATACAAATGACTTTTTTTTTTTGTAATTGATACTAATGACTTTAAATAACATGTAATACTGATTTGGCCATTATTCTTAATTGTGTTCACAGAACTCGAATCTTCGTCCTCGGGATTAATTTGTGTAAGTCTGTAAGATAATACCTTTCTAAATGCGAGTTAATTTATATTTAACATTATTCTATAACGGTAAAAGTTATATTTACAACCTATTTTTTTTACAACCTCTTACAACCATATATTTTAACCGTTGATTTACGTCAATCAACGGTTATCATTTATTGTGATTTAATAATTAATTAATAAATTTAATTTACGAAAATCTTAACCGTTGATTGATGGAAATCAACGGTTAAGATATATGATTGTAAGAGGTTGTAAGTATAACCTTTCCCTTTTATAATTGAGTTGTTAAATTAAGCACCTCAATATTAACTAATCATATATTTAATTTGTATAAAGAACCAATTCAACTCAAAAGCTTAACTAGTAGATGAGAGCTTTTTTAATGGTTTTATATATCTCAACACGCCCCCTCACACAAGAGCCCACTGGGCTTGCACAGACCCACCTACCTGTGCGAACAAAGAAATTCCACTTGAAAGAAAGTGAGGGGCGGCGAGGATCGAACCTGAGACACCAGACTCTGATACCATGTAGAGAACCAATTCAACCCAAAAGCTTAAGCTAGTGGATGAGGGCTTTTTTAATAATTTTATATATCTCAACAATTAGTTTATGAGAAAAATATTTCCTGCAACCCCAAAATAATATCATTTTAGGGTTTAGAATAAAAAATAAATAGTATTTTGAAAATTTTACTTTCCTATTATAACATGTATTTTACTAAAGTACCTTTCTCTTTTTATTCTAAACCCTAAAATGATATATTTTGGGATTGTAAGAGATAACTTTATTTTCTATGGCAGGAAAAACATTAATCTCTTAATTTATGGGTTTAATGTTTCTAATGTTGTATGAGATAATTTTATATCTTACATATATATAAAATATGTGGGGTTCATATTTTTATTTATTTTTACATATGACCCAACTGAGTCTCACATATAAAAAATAATTTTATATCATATAATATTTGAAAAACATGAAACCTTTAGTTTTTATGCGCTAACCAAAATTTACCAAAACTTTCACTGCGCCGAGCATCTACATACTGCGTGCAAGGTCCACGTAAGGAATTGTTATTACAATCTATCAACTGGGCTGTGTTTCTCTTTTACGTTTTCAATTTCTTGTATAAAAAGTTTTTAAGCCGAAAGGCACCGACAAGAGATGCTTACTTGAAAGGACAACTAGCGAAAATTGAGGATGGTGTTGACTGCTGAGTGGTGTGTAGTTGATGATTTTAATTTTCGGCTTCATTAGTCTCCATGTACAGTTATCTTATGTTGTAAGAAAAAATAAATAAGTTTCATCATTATAAGAAGAAAAAAAAATACTAGCATGTGAAAATCAAAGTGAGAGAATATGAAAAAAATTATCTTATGAGAAAATGAGAGTAATATTTTCCTTTAATTTTACATTTAACTTGTAATTTCTCCATACCTTGTTGACGCGAAAATCTGATAGCCATCGACGAGCTCATATTTTATTTTATGCTTGTACAAGTGTGATATATATGTTTAGTGTTTGTAATTTTAAAAGTATATATATATATATATATATATATATATATATATATATATATATATATATTTTTAATTTTCTCATGCATTAAAAGAAAATTTCTCATAGACACATCTTGTATAGGATAAGATCTTTTGATATCGGTGTCAAACTCTAAAATTTGACACCAAATTTTAACCGTTAATTTTCGTCAATCTACGGTTATTATTTATTGGAAATTAATAATTAATTAATAAGTTTGATTCCAAATAAATAATAACCGTTAATTGGCGAAAATCAACCGTTACAATTTGGTGTCAAATTTTAAAGTTTAATACCGATATCAAATGATCCTATTCTATATATATATATATATATATATATATATATATATAAAACAAAAAGATTTCCTGTACAGAGATCGAAATACATGCCAGTAACATTTTTTTTTTAACCAATGGATCTCATTTGATTGTATCAGTTACAGAAAATTTCCTACTGTATGAGAAAATGCAACTCCTATATATCTATATTTTTTTATCGGATAAGACTTTAATATAATCTTAAATGTAAGAGATTATATTCTCCACTCAATAATTTATCCTCCTCCCCTACCTTACCAAAACGACTGCAAATCCAATGTAATTAAATTAACTAAAAAAATTGATATCCCACAGTGATGGCTCCAAATATTTTCGCTCTTTACGACTCTTAGCAAGCATTGATGGTTATTTTTTTTGTTTTGTTTTTTATACAACGGTGAGGTTTGAAGACCTGTGCAGACTAACCAAATCTCTCGTTATTGGACCAATCCTAATGTGTTATAGATAGTTAATTTTGAATCCGTACTTACCAACTATGGGTGACACTCTCTCATATATGCATCCAAGGAGTTGTCTGCTAAGCGGATTAGAACCCTAATATTAGGGGATAAGTTCAAAAAATTTGTTTTTCGTCTCATTAAAATTTTGTTTTCAAATCTGGTCAAAAGAAATTAAAACAGTGTGAAAATTTAGTGAAATATATGGCTTGCTGAAATAATCATTTTCCTGAAAAACCTGTCTTCGTGCAAAACTCATAATAAATCGTGCTTTTAGAATTTCATTGTAAACTTTATATAATCAGAAACTAGACACGTGAGGCTTCGCGCGCATATAAATTATAAGCAATTCGGAGGTCTGTAGCCCCACTAAATATAACTCGCAAAGTGCTCGCAAAATAGTTTATAAATCTGCATTCAAAACCTTAAGAAATAGTTTTCGCAAAACATTTCCAGAATTTTTCCAAAGTGCAAACCGACTATAAAAATCTTAAAACAGAAGTTAAATCATGCTTCCAACAGTAATCCAAACTTCCCAAAATAATACAGTCATCCAACAGACAAACAGGCAACAGCAGAAAAGTCCAAACAGCAGCAGTAAACAGCAAATATCCAAAAAAATTTCAACGACATCATATACTTTTTCGTCCTCCTGCAATTTATAAAAATTGAGCCCCAAAGGGGTGAGAAAAATCCAGTAGTGTGATAGCAAAACCAATAATGCAACAATACTAACTAGATACAGAATTACAAAGCAGTCGCATCATCAAGTTAAATCTGACAGATACTAAGTATTATCATATTGCGTATATAACGCCAAGAGTACGTTCATAGCACTAATGTGCACGTACTAACAAGCACAGTGGAGATCCCATAGTGGCTCCTCAAGAGGGTTCCAACTGCGGCCTAAGCGGACGGAAGCCAAGTGTCCCATACCCTGGTACCGAAGGGATGCCTATATGATGCGTGCTCAAGCGTATGCTCACTTTTCATATTTTTTTTCAGATATCAACATGAAAGTTATGCATGAATGCTATGTCATGGTTCACACACGAACAAACAGTTAAAATCATGAATGTGTATGCATGACTAGATAATAATCCAGATAACATATATCTCATGGATTCCAATATCAAGACGCCGGAAAATAATTAATTCTCAAAACAAAATATCCAGCATTTCAAGTCCATGAGCAGAATCCAACTAACTTATACAAAATCCGAACGCAAGACACATGAGAGCAACGTTCACAATCCATGTACTAGCTAGCAGTCACAAAAGGTAATGCCACCAGACATTTACCTCACGTGTCACAATTAAATTACCAAGCAGCAGCGAAATAGTCCAAAATCTTAAGGGTTTAGCGCACCTAAGCAACAAGGTTACAAGTCAGAATTCGTACGTCACATAGTTCCCACACAGCATATGTTTTTAATCCCTTTTTCCTTTAATTTCCAATCGGTTTTTAGGATGCTTTTCCTAACACTATTCTGACTTCGCAATGATTTTACCAATGTTAAACAGTGAATATCCCAAGGTTTCTAACTCAAACAGAATTGGTTAGCATTAAATTACATTAAGGATTTTATTCAAAGTCTCAACCAAGCTCCCCATGTGCGCTACATACAGCATGCTGTCCTACTATTTTTCCATCAAATAACAGCAATCAAACTAACATACACAGTCGGTTTACTGCCTATCATTAAGTGCCTAAACAAGTTCATTTATATGATGTTACTAGAACGCAAAAGGGACAACACAAGGTTTTAACGTTCTGCCTATAATATTTAAGCACTTACAACTTTTTATTAATACTTTCTAGTTCAAGGGAATCATCCAACGGTTAAAGGGATTAATTTTCTAGACATAACTTGCTAGGGGGGTTTGCATGCATTAAACGGTCAAGGCTTCCAACAAAACAGAATGATAATCAAGCTCTCCTAAAACACTTCTAAAACCGAACAGTAAAAGCACAAAGAGGTTTAAGATGACTTACGGTTCTTTGTTCACCCAAACGTTCAAGCCTAGAAACGTACGAGGAAGGCAGTGACTTCACCAAGACAGAATCTTGCGCATGCAACAAAGAATAATCCAATGAGAACCGTTTGTGAGTAGGAAAGGATAAGAGGAAAAGCAAACAACTCACCTCCTTGAATTCTAGAGCTCGCAACCGAACAAGGGAGGAAGGAAAGACTTGCTTAGAAACTTGGTTACCCTTCAAGAAGCTCCACGGTTTGTAGCCATGAGAGGAGGAGATGGCATGCAAGGTTTTTCTTGAGGTCTTTCACTCTAATGGCTCACGGTTTTAAGCAAAGATGGAGAGGCTAGTTTGTAATATTTCTTGGTGTCTCTACCCTACTATAAGGTTACGATTTGTAGGTGGGAGGGGAAAATGGAATGGCTGAGTTCTATTTTGTTTCACAAGATAACTTCTACACTTATTAGTCTACAATCAGCGCTTGGAGCAAGTGAATGGGAGGTAAGAGAGTTGATTTATAAGCCATCAAGAAATCAGAAAAATAGCTTGGTCCTCTCACTCTTTGGAGCGCACAAGGAAGAGGAGTGGTGAAGTGTTTCTGCCCCAATCAAAAGACATGCAATCTGACCACAAGTGCCTTATTTGATGCATGTTAAAAAAGGCTGAATAGGTTTTGGTTAAAGCCACAAGTCATCAGAATTTTCTGCCCAAGGTAGCGCTATGTACAAGGGGATAAAGGTTGGCTGAAATGTTGCCATGTGTAGCTCCTTTGCCAATAATGGGCCGACTTGTGGGGTTCTTAAGATAAGGCTAGGATAAACCATGGTTTGGGGCTGAACAAAACCCTCCCAATGCACTTGGGCCGTCGACCTACTCATGATGTGGGTCCAAAATCACCTAAGTCCAAAGGTTCTACTTACTTATGCACCTACCCACTAATTTATTAATTCCCATGTCTTTTAAGTACCATAGCCCTTTCTTTATTTTATGATTAAATTACTCATATACTCTTTAATACAAGTTGCAAATGCCTACCATAATTGTACTTCAAGTAATTCCCTAAATTAATTTAATTCCACTCTAAGGAAAGTAGCTATACAATTTGAAGATAAGACAAAATATTACACATAATTCAAATTTAACACAGCATCCATATTCCTCATAGCCATATATATATATTTTTCTAATTTCGTGAGATGTTATACTATGTCAGATAAAATAAATATTTCGGGTAAAGTCTCAAAGTCAATAGCAATCCTATTTATATTATAACTTTTTCCTTTTTCAAATTTTGTAAATAAAATTTTCCTCTTCATTCCTGTTTATTAATTTTTGCTGATCATGCATCCAGACATGTTTCAGAACACTTACATTTTTCGGATTAGCAAGTTAGGTTTGGCTTGAAGATGATATGGCAAACAAATTATCTCATAGCAAAAAAAAAAAAAAGGAGGAAATTGTGTACAAAAATCAAATCATCGACCCTTCAAACACAAATTAATTCCTAAACATCCACCCACAAAAATATTATATATTCTTCCTCCATCAGTCAAAGAAAATGATACAATTATTAATCTAAAAAATGCAGGATGGTAACTTAATATAGTTTTGGTAAACAAATAGTAGTAGGTAGGATAGGTAACAAACAAATAACTCAATTGGTCAAGCCTCCAGTGAACCTGATGCCTGTTCCCGGCAGCCATGAATCCCCATTAATGAACCGCTGAACCGTGAAGAAACTGGCGGTAGAAGCATCTTTAATTACATGAAAACCGGGCCATTTGACTCTACCTGCGAGTGATGAACCGGGCCCATAATTCTTGTACTCACCGTACCACAAAGTGTCCAATGCAAAGTTTCCAAACCACTCAAGCCACCCTCGAGGCTGGACAAGCCCACTCATGTATGTGTTAATGTAAACTGTTCTCGAGTATTGCTTCCATGGCCTACCCAAATATGTAGGTTGTGTGGCCAAAACAAAGCTATCCTGAATAGTAAAACCAGTGTTCTGATGTGGGCTTTTCCTGCCTTGGGCCGTGATGGTAACCTTCTGTAATGGAAGTGGAACTCTAGTGTATATCTTGCAATTTTGCAACACAGCAGCCCCATTGCCAAAAATGAAGTCTATGGTGCCATAGATTTCACATTCACGGTAGAACTGTCTCAATGAGTGGGCGTAAAGGGTGTCTTGGTTCCCTTCCACGCTGCACCTATAGAACGCAGATTGGTCTGAATCCACACGCAGTGCCACAGCTTGATGATTTACTGGTCCAGCTGTGTTCCGGAATGACATGTCCCTTGCAATAAAACCCTTCCCGGATACAGCTACATATTTATTTATTTGCAAATTGTCAAGCCAATTCATAAATAATCACAAGTTAATAGAAGTTATGTGAATATGTATAACATGAATTGGGCCGGCGAATAAGGCCCGTTAAAAGGGTTATAATCCTCCATCCTTAAAGTGACAAATGTTCCCTAACTCATCTTATTTGTTAAGAGAAAATATTGAAAACTGAGTACATTCTTTATTAAATTTGGGGAAAAAATAATAATTAACTTTTCTCATTTTACCCACCCTTTCATGATTATTGTCACCTAAATCTCATTTTTTTTCTATTTTTAATAAAGAAGTACATGTTCATGTAATATTATAAGATGTGTTATTTTCCTCATATCTAGTGAGGTTCGTAATGACAAAAATAATTATGTCTCTCTTATTTGGAAATCTTCTCCCTATTATAAATACTCCTCTCATCTCACCCACGAGAGAGGTTCTATTACACACTAATCTAGATTTCAGCCACAAAGAGGAATAAATTTTTGGTGCTACTGTTGCACCAAGATTCAGTGCATCTCACCAATGAGAGCATTACACATCATAAGAGAGAGAGAGAAATTGTCAGAGTAAATAACACTTTAGCTGACATGTAATATTTTTATTAGTGGGATGTACTGAATCTTTGGTGCTACAGTAGCACCAAAGATTTGTTCCACAAAGAGATAGCATGCCATCATACTTTTCTTCGATTCTCAACCTATCCCGAGACACTTTCAACGTGATGTCATCATAAAGTTTTGGTCTATATTATTTAACTCTCTTTTTTTCGGAGATATTTCAATCTGTTCATCGTTTCGTGACTAGTTTGATTCAGGTGAGTTTCAGAATTAAAACTTTAAACATCTCTCAATTACCAAAGACAGTACCGGAGAGGATCGAATATATATATATATATTATTCACTTTCTAGATCACCTATAACACAAATAGAAATAAACCACGCATGATAAATTATATATAAAGTTCTGAATCCATATATATGGTGTAACTTACCAAGTGTGGCAGTTCGAAAAGTGGTCCAACCTTGCATGAAATTCCGGTTGCTTGTGATAATGGTTTGGCCAATACCATCACCAACGAGCATGATGTTGGTCATCTTCTTCTTCATATCAACATTCTCCTTGTAAAGTCCCTTCTTCACGTAGATAACATACCTCCTGTTGCTATGACTGGGAGCTGCATTAACAGCTTCTGTGATTGTGCGGTAATGGCCACTCCCATCCAATGCCACAACAGCGTCTGCATGTGCAGCATGTGACTTGGATTTAAGTAGATCTTGATCACCCTCAGTCATCCATTCAGGAAATTCCAAGCTTTCACTTGTTTGAGTATTGTTCCTTGGAGACCTGAAGGGCAAGCTATGCAATTGAGTGTACAAAGTCAAAACATTGCTGATAAGTTGTGTGACTTGATTCAAGCTTCCACTGATGTAACTCTCAAGACGTCTATCAGTGCCCTCAAAGCCTTCAAGGCATGTGTCTTGGTTGCTCAGTGCTGCACTGAGCCAAGCTTCAAGGTTGCCCTCATATTGCACGTTGTTATCACCTCCTCGAATTCTCCTCATCTCACCTAAAGACCATGCCAGCTCGGATACAGAGAAATCAAGGAGCTCCTTGCAATCTTCTATGGCTAGTTGCTCGCGATAATTATAAGAAAATGTACTGAACTTTGTCATGTTGTCAATGGCACCTATGGCGTCATTCATTGTGGTCCTGAGTGCGGCACTTAAGACTGAAGTAGGGCTTGGAGGACCAATTTTGATGAGCTCGTTTTGAATGTTTCTGAGGCATGAGTCTTGGTTTTCAATATCCATGCAAGCTTGTGCAATCAAGGCATGCATGTCTTGGGTTTGGATGTCTGAGGGAGTTTCATCTGAGAGAGCCTCAAATGAGGGTAAAAGCATGAGAATGAAAAGGAAATTAACCAAGGCCATCTTTTGATTTTGACAGAGAAGCAGAAAGGTAGCAAGTATGTTTGTGGTCTTCCGAAACACCTTTATTTATACACGAGGGATTGCAGGCAAGCTTTTTTGCTTTCAAACTCGAGGACTTTTCTTCGGAGTTTTAATATTCTCATTCCCTTTATGCTTTTTCTCTTGACAAAGTCCCAAGTTATTCAAATGCTTTCTTTTGTTGGAGGCATGGCATGATATTCCCTCCTTTGAACTTCTTGGTGTCACCACTTCTCAACAATGATACACACTTTCTCTGAACTCTGCACATACAGCTTCTCACTTTTGATGATTGATCAAAGGTATAATTAAGGCTGCGGCTTCTCCTGTCAAACGCAACCATAAGTCAAACTGTTAAATGAACCTTAAAACACAGTGCTTCTCTTCAAGGCCTCGTTTAGACTGCACATCTGCCTGTACCTTTAAATAACACAAAATGAACAAATGAAGGCCTATGAATCCTTAACCTAGTCCAAAAGTAGTATTCTTTGCTTCATAGTTGTAGAAATTCTCGAGTTGAATCAGGTTCGAAGCTGCTTTCGCATCGCCTAATATTGATTTTCGCCCAAGTAATCTAGTTCCTATCTTGATAGTCAAGTTCAAAATGGTTTACGTGTAGGTACCAAATTCATGGAGTTATTTTTCACCTTAGTTGAGTATTCAGTATCCACTCGCACTGCTTCTTTCATCCGGTTTTCATTGTTTAAGTTGAACCAATCTCACTTATTAGAGAATCCACCTAGCCTAGAGATTTGATGCAAAGAATAATGATACTTCCATTTCCGCACCATTTTCATCACAAGACTTATATTACTTTCTTCTTAGATAATAAAACAAGAAAATACACATTGCAATGCAAAGCTTTCATTTAATTTTTTTCTCAAACTAGAAAAATGTAAATATAATATGAGTTAGATTATTCTACCTACTTTTTTTTCTGCCTACCGCTTTAAAATACTAGGGATATGTTATTATACCTACCATTTTTTCTGTCTACCTTTGCCTACCACTCTAAAAGATCATTAGATTAGAATTTTAATTAATATTTAATTTTCTCTCTCATGTTTAGATTCTGATCTAACGGTGTTGGAGAGTGATAGGCAAAGATAGACAGAAAAAAATGGTAAATAGACTAACCTATCCCAAAACACCATTAGATCAGAATCTCAAATAACTTTTATCTTTCTCTCTCCTCTTGAAATTCTGATATAACGATGTTGGAAAATAGTAGGCAGAAAAAAAAAAAAAACATGTAAAATAACCTATCCCATATAATATTTTGTAGTATGCAGATATCATTTCTAATTTCTGTAATCCAAAATCATGACCACAAACAACCATGAGTTATGAAACCACATCTATTATCATTTGAGATATTCATATTCATACTTAGTTATCATTTCAGAACATGCTGGATAAACAGGAATACAGAAAATCAAAAATCATCTGACTAGAGGAAAAGCCGCCACTAATATTTTGATAACGCCTTGAGGTTATGAGGTATCCATGTATGCAACATTATTTTAGGCATCTTTTGCATCAACAATGAAAAAAATAATCTAACATATTGTCAATGTCGCCTAATTGAACTTGCATGCACCTTACAAGGGCAACAGAAGTTAAGGGAAGAAAATACAAGAGAAATTTAAAATCTAATACATTATCTTGGTGACTTAAATAGCGTAGCTAATCCCATCTGATTTTGCACCCCCGTGCATGGATTGTCTCGAGTATTTCTGAGGGAAGCAAGAACCTAAGAGACCTCTGCAGTTTAACCTTTTTAATACGACCGCAGCAAGCTCTAAGGGCAAGTTCCAATCCTTTAACAGTGACTTTAGCAAGACGAACCAGTTTGGCATCCTGAAGGCGTTTCAGGTTACCCATAAGCATGCACAACACCGCATCTGACACGATACAGTTGCTTATATTTATCTGCCATCATCATTGCTATGTTGAGTTAGAATTAGAATCCCTAATTATAACATAACATATATTCCATCATTATGGGCTGTCTTCATGTAAATAAACTTCAATGCTTGACCTATTTAAAAAATAATTAACACATGCACTCCTCAAAATATAAATAGAAACTTCAATTATTGAAAGCATAAGAAAATATTCGCCTGGGCAGTAAAAACTGTTTGTTAACAGCATAACAATTTTCTTTGTTTGATTTATTTAGAGCATATATCACATTATCAATTTGAAAAGAAACAAAAGATTATTCTTTGAAGCCGGTAAGAAGCACTACCTTCTTTTACAACGTAAGAATAACAGTTGAATATGATAATATGATAAACAGAGCCAGTTACAAAACCAAATTAATCATGTGCCTCCACTTATAAAGTACAAAATGATACAATGCCGGTATCCAGTCAATAGGTGCATAAATTTAATTTATTCTATTAGACAAGTGCTTTTCCTTTCTTTATTTCTTTGTTTAGGATCAAATCATCTATACAAAGGATATTAACTTCAACATCCAGCTTTACATGTTATTCCAAAGTGGAGCCGCATAAGAGTAAGACTTGTAGTAAGATGTGCCAGAAACTTCAATCTAATTGAATATAAAGTTTCATAGCCAAAAAGAAAAATTAAAAACTATTATGTGCATATTCTTCTTCATGTCCAGGGCAGAAAATGGATTAAATGTGACTGGAAAGCACAAGAACAAATACCAAAATCAAAATTAAATGCGTAAAAAGCACAGAAAGAGAAGAGGGACAACAAACACAGTCGAGGAAAGGAGAGCATTGCTCCCAAACAAGCATCCAAACCAGGGTTCTTTGGTATTTGTAGATTTATAGTCATAAATTTATCAATCAGATCAAACTATAAAACAGTCTGCAACTTAAGAAGTAACAAAGCCAGAGGAGTGTCACTTACGTTCCATGAGGTAAATTTCAAATTTTCATAGTTGGACTTACTTTTGTTTTAGAGACCAGACTTTGGTGTTAGTCAGAAGACTCAGAACAGTATTAATGTAATGAGTAAAACTAGTACCACTAACCTGCCGAAGGTTTTGAGAATAAACGGCAAGGGACCAGAAACCTGAATCATCAATATTTTCACAATGTTTCAAATCTAAATCAGCCAATCTCTTGCAACTAACTGCTACTGATTTTATACCGATGCTTGTGATGTTCGAAAGCCCGCGCAACTCCAGATCAGATAGTTCACCTAGATGGCTGATATACTCCATTCCTCTGTCTGTAATTCTATTGCAATATGACACATTGAGCTTTGTCAACTTCTTGCATCCACTAGATAGCGCTGCAAGTCCACCATCTCCTATATATACACAGCTGCAATAAAAGAACAGAATGAACTAAACAGACTCACCACTTTTACAATTTTGTAAAATAAAAAACAATTAACCATGTTGACTCTAAAGTTCAATTACCGATAGAGATCAAGTTCAGTCATTCTTGGGCAGTTACAAGCAATGTGTGCCAATCCTATGTCTGATATGTTTGTGCATAATCCTAATTTCAATCTCACTATTTCTGAACACCTTGATAGATATTTGAGTGCTGCATGAAGACAATGTTGGAAATAAATTAATCAGAACCATTGGCAATTTTGAACAAGACTGTTATACTATTTACTGATAGAACTTCCATAAGTTACCTATGTCATTGATGCCAGAGCAATCAGTAAGATCAAGCTCTTCAAGCAGCAAGCAACTTGATCCAAGCTGATAAAGGAAACTCTCAGTCACCATATCACAAGACTCTAACTTCAGACAAACAAGGTCCGGACAAGAGTCTGCTATAGTAGAGATGGCTGCATCAGTGATGAAACGACAACAAGTCAAATCAAGTATCTTCAAATTGCCACAGCCAGATACCAGCTGCATAATTCCCATGTTGGTCACCCCAATACATTTGCTTAAACCAAGTTCCACTAAAGACTTGCAATTGGTGCCAATGGTCTGAAGTATAAAGTCAGAAACTCGAACACCATCGATTCTAATTATGCTCAGCTGCTTTAAATTCTTCAAGCATTTAACAAGAGGCGCTGAAAGCTCCTATAGGAAATGCATGGGGTGTTAGTTTATATAAAACTTATCACAATAAAATATGGTACACAACCATATCATATACAATAAACTCACAGAGAGGCAGTATCCTGCATCCATCCGCTCAAGACCACCATGTCCACTAATTACAGATATTAAACCGGATGAGCTAACACAATCACACCTTGATACATCAATTGCCTGCAACTCATGGAAAGGAAACTTATTTAAATTAAAGACATCTGTGGTTATGCTCCAGAGAACCTCCTTGGTAAAACTACATAAATTTTTGAACCATTATCGTCATAGTTTATAAATTAGGATAAATAAAAAACCTTAAGTAGTGGACATCCTTTTTCAAGAAACCGCAATCCAGCATCATCCACTGAAGAGCAGCCAACCATAACGAAAACCTCAAGCTTTAACAGAGCAGCTATTGGTTGCAAAGATTCGCTTGTTACCTAATAAAGTAAGATCTCAAAATTATTTAAAAGGTATAATTTGAAGAAATAAAATAAAATAAACACTCAAACCAAATATAGTCTCTTTATTAGCTGAGTAAGCTAATGATGTAAAACAGAAAATCACATTGTCAGTGAAATATGCTGCTCTTGGGAATGGCATTAAGGCAATATATCACAACACCACCATTACTACATACAAGTACAACAGTGTATTGTCCATAGTCAAGGTACAGAAGAACTTGTTTTTGCTTCTCGATTGATTCTGCACTGCTCTCAAATTTCGGAAACCAGAAATTCAGAATATCTATTTTTTCTTCGATTACTGTAAGCATGAAAGAACAAGACTAACTCAAATCAGATGGAAGCATAAGTCGTTCATTGATAATTAATGACCCAAAACCCACACCCCAAATATCCTAATTGAAATTGTGGGAATATCACATTAAGAATTTGGTTGGTGCTTCTCTCTTAAGCATTTAGGGTATGGATTTGAAGAGTTATCCTTTTTCAAACATTAATGGCAAAGCTGGGGGATGAAGTGGTTTGCTCAAGTGACTATATTCTGTCAACTTTGTGACCTCTACCTAATTTCAATAACAATAAAGTTATTTACACACATGAAAAAGTTTCTCACACAACTCTATTCTCTCTCTCTCATTTCTTCGTCAATATAAATGTGAATTGTGTAAGTTGCTGATTACGTTTAACTAACTTTACCTTTTCAAGTTAAGTGTCCAAACCATAACGAAAAAAAATAAACGGGGAGGGGGAACGGATCATATCATATCATTTCTTTGAATCTGTAATAACTTCATAGCCAAATAAATTTTCTTGTGGGAGAAGGTAAAGAAACTAACCTTGAGATAGGAGATATCGAGAAATTTCAATTCCAAGCACTTCTTGCAAAGAAGATCAATACCCAAATCAGAAATCTCCAAGCACCATTTCAAACTGAGGCTCTCCAATTGGCTACACCCAACAGCAATCTTTGCCAACCCAATATCAGTAACCCCCAAACACTTGTCCATGTTTAGTTCCCTCAACCTCGTCGCGCATGACAACGCAGCAGCCTCTCTGTCCCCATATCCCCAACAATGGGACACATCAACCGCCTCCAACAGAGGACACGCTCGAATCAACACCTCCAACCCCGCGTAACCCAACCCGGTCGCGCGACTCAGCACGAGTCTCTTGAGTCCCCGAGTCCAACTCACCGATCCCTGACTCAGCAAAATCGACACGGCTCCATCGGCGATCCGCGGACACAGCGATAGGTCAAGCGTCTCGATGTTGCAATACTTTTGAAGCAACCCGAGCAAGAACTCAATCCGGAGGATCCGAACACTCTTCCGGGTCACCGATTCGACCCGAAGAAACTCCTTGCATACAAGCCGCCATGATTTCCGGTCGGAGCCTAGCTTGTCAAGGACTTTGATAAGCAGGTCCTCGGTCAAGAGGCAGAGAACAGATTCAGACAACATTAAAATCTTCGAATTTCTAGATCCTACGTTGATTATTTTGACGTTGGATTCAATGAAAAAAAGGGTTTAGTGTAAGTTTGGGTTTAGGTGGGAACAAAAAGGAATAGGAGGCGAAGGTGGAGAAGAGGATGATGGGTACGTTTGGAGAGTGTGCCCATTAATCTGCAATGAGCTTTCTCTGGTTTCATCGTTTCTGCCACTTTTCTTCTTCTCTATAAGTTCAATGGTAAATTGATAACAATAGTATTGTGAGGAGAATTTCAAGGAAGAAATAGAACTCAGATTTCAGAGTGTGCGTGTTCCACATTTTGAATTTCATATCATGTGCGGGTACGGGTAGGGGTACGGCCATGTCCCCTGTTGTACTCCTCCTCTGTCTGTCATACTCGGTAACAAGTAACAACAACAACCCCGTCCCTGTTTACCATAAATGCCCCTTTCTCTTTTTTGAATGGGAGAAAAGAAAACTACTTAAATCAACACAAACACAAAATTATTAAACACAAAATATGTTGTCGTGTCGTTGTCATACTTTGGATAAAAATTAAGACACGGAAACAAAAATGGTAGAAAATAAATTTAAAAGGTGTTTGACCGAACTAGTAGAGCCCCCAAAGGTCGCAAATGACATGTTTTGCAAAATAAAATAAAACAAAACTGTTTCTCTTTTCTTTCTCTCTACTCTCGAGTATTCTCTTATATTTTACTTAATATTATTTCATCATCGAAATGCAAGTTGCAGTTATCTTTTTATTCTTCAACTTCACCCACCCATAAAGTGGGAGGGGGGGAATGGTCATCTTTTCAATGCAGAAATATTGATATTAAGAATGGTGAGAAAAATGAAAATAAGCCTATATGGACGTGTACACTAAATAGCAGAGCGTAACTGTGTGATGAGACGAAGAAGATAAGTCCGTGAGTAGCGTCAACTATCAAGAAGCAGGAGGAAGGAAAATTGAAGAAAAAAAAAAAGGTAAATTTCACTGGTTTAAAGTGAAACGTGTGTTTTAAAAGAGAAGTTATAACCAAAAGGGATTTATATCTCTCATGTAACATGAGATGAGATTTTTCACACATGGGCTCCACTGAAAAAAAAATAAAAATAAAAAAATACTGGAACGTAAAACGATGTGAGTATAGCATGAGAATACTCTTCTTATCTTGCATAAGAAGTATAAACTCCTATAATTATTACTTAAAAACAATAAGAAAATAAATTTTAATAATTAATTATTTTTAGGCGGCAGTTATACTTATTACTAAATTTTATTAATTTTAATAATTAATAAATTTTAATCTTATTATCTGAAAAATTAGTGTTGGATTAATTTGAAATCAATCATTAAAAAATAAAAAAAAATAATATTAATCATTAATTTTATTTATACTTAATAACTCCAATTTATTAATTTTATAAAGCATTAAATTCAAGTAATATTAACGAGTTTTGTGTAATATTATCTTACATGGCTGTAGTAAATTAACGACTATAATTCTAATCCAAGGTAAAGTTTAAGGTGCATTTGAATGTGTCCTGATTTTTTTATTTTTAAAATTGTTCTGTAAAATAGTTAAAGAAATAAGTATTATTTTATATATTTTTTAAGTTAAAAGTGGAAATAAAAAATAAAAGATACTCAGATATTATCTATTTGATTAAAAAAATAATTGTAATCTTTTTATAAAAATATTATGAAACGAATTTTTTTTATTTTGAAATTTTTGTTTTGAAACATGCCCATAGATTCCAATATTGTGTAAAAGAAAAGAGCAGTGGTTAGAGTTGAAAATGGAATTGTCATGTGGGTAAACATAAATAGGACACAATATTAATAATAGTGGGAAAGAATATTTTAATGATAAAAAAGACATGATATGATTATATTGACAATTAAAATTATATAAAAATAAATTAATAATGACAAAAAGAGAGAGAGAAAAAATTATAATAAATAATTATTAAATTATAACCGTTAATTTTGATTATAATTGGCTAATATTACTGTCATATTTTTTTTAAAAATAACGAGTGGATCCAATTCCAACAATAGCGCGTACGCGTAGTGTAAGGTACGGTTTGAATTGCCCACAGAGTAAGGTCGTGTAAGCGACCGTACCTATATGGGGATGACTGATGACTGATTAACCTTCCCATTTCCATGTTTGGAAATAAATGAACTTGGAAAGAATGCGAGCCAAATCCAACGGTACACATTGACTCAGCGAGCCATAGATTAGACCAGCAGAACGTGGGGCCTACTACGTGGTTCTGGTGGCATCGCCACCGTCTCAACTTCGTCATGCGGGGCCCAACTCACCCACTCGTGTTACGCACCAAAATTAATTGAATGTATTATATTATTATTTTTCATTACTAAAAATCTGTTGCATTTATTTTAGTTCCTCCATCTTGCCGGCCTTTATTGAATGCCCCGCCTTACTGTTCTCAGTTATTAGGAACCTATCCTTTAAAATTATTTTATCAGTATAAGTTAGGTATCACCTTGAATTTAATAATTATATATTACAAAAACAAAAGAATCATATACAGTATATAATTAAATTTTATTTTAATTTAGAATTTATATTTTGATATTAGTATTACTATTTTTTATATATCTATCTCAACCTCAGGCAAAAAAATTAAAATAATATTATTTTAAAAATTAATTACGAATAAGTTACAGTTTAAAAATTATTTTCGAATTTATTGCATTCATTCACGCTCGAAAAAGACGGGACAATTCACGCCCAAGTTAGGCATGAAATCCAAGTAATTCACGCCCAAAGTAGGCGTGAATTGCTTGGCCTATATAAACCCCTAAATTTTCACTTTTCCATCTCACACATTCTCTCTGATTTCTCTCTGAAGTTGGTCTGCCTTGTCTCTAGATTATTTGAGGAGCATTTTGCGCGGCGAAGCCCTGTCGAACAAGTAAGTCTTAATATATGTTTTATAAATTTTTCAAATATAATATTATACATGTTATAATAGTAATATAAGGTGTTGCGCATATAACTGTTATTATAGTGATCTAGAAATATGTTAAAGTAGTATCTTAAACCCTAGGAATATAATAGTGACTGTGGAATATAATAGAGACTGTGGAATATAATAGTGACCTAGGAATATTGTACACATTTAATTAAAATTTTTTTGTAGGTAATGTAATTTAATATTTTTGTTAACAAATGCAAATTAATTTTTTTTATTAACACATGTAATTTAATATTTTTTGTAACACATGTAATTTAATATTTTTGTAACACATGTAATTAATGAAATGACTTTTGGAATATATTAATGAAACCAATTAATTTATTATTGTGTATAGTACATTATTATGACTGACTCGTCATCGTCGGAGTCACCTCGGTCTACATCCGATACTGAGGCTCGAGCCGAGCCTTCGGATCCCAAGACACACGTGCTTCCAGGACCGTACAGGTGGGACGTACTTAGGAGGCGCACGCAACGCACACATGTTTCACAGATTGTGTGGAACGAGGAGAAGTGTCACCAGTGCAAGACTAGACGAGGTAAGATACATGGGGGCATCTCCTGATATTATCCCCGATGTCGCGGCAGACTACCTGCAGCAGGCTGGCTTCCTACATGTCGCCCGCATGGGACATATTCAGGTACGCATATAAGAAAGTACCGGTCACGAGATTTTTAATTTAATAATAAATGTGAAAAACTTAGTGTATGCTTAAGCAAGTTTATTTTGATAATCAGTGACTATCATTTATTTCAGATTGATCCCATGCTGATTAGTGCTCTGGTGGAGAGGTGGAGACCAGGGACACATACCTTCCACATGACCCAGGGCGAGATGACCATTACGTTGCAGGATGTTGCGGCTATATTGGGATTGCTGACTGATGGGAGAGTGGTTACGGGTGCTACATCCACGAACTGGCGGGTCCTGTGCGAGGAGGTGCTTGGTCACGCCCCGCTTGTTTCAGAGCAGTCGTACGAGGACGTTAAGCTCGCATACTTAGATAGACATTATGCGCATTGGGGCGCAGTGGCTGCGGATGCACAACAGGTTATATTTTCACTAAGGCACACATTGCGCGTATGTTGAGTTCATGGCTTCTATGTGACAAATATGGAGGTAGCGTCGTCAGATGTCGCTACATTGCGTTGCTTGCAGGAGATTTTGGAGACATTGGACAATACAGTTTGGGATCTGCTGTTCTCGCACATTTGTTTAGACAAAGGTGCGAGCTTACTGACCCGCGCAGATCAGACATGGGTGGGTGTCATATACTACTGCAGATATGGGCGTGGACCAGGTTTCCACCTATTGCCCCTCCTCTTCCTCAGCCTACTCACCCGGAGTGGCATTTCGGGCACCGATATGATCATTCAAGCAATTGTGGTCTCCACCCCATTTAGTAACCTTCCATTTTTCACCGTATGTTGGCTTTATTACCCTAACCCTCCACGGGCAACCCTGTTCATACGCACAACATTTCATACTTAATTTGGTAGGCGTGCTCTCAAGGATGACCGCTTCTTGATGCTATTTCATTAGGTTTATTTTGATTGTCATCTGCGCCTCTTTTTTGATTCAAATTCTTGCTTAACATACAACTTGTTACCTATTATCTATGGACCATTAATTGAACCTGAGCCTGAGCCATAACTTGAACCGTCGTTATAAGAATCTTGTTCCCTCGAATGATCCCAATTAATGTATGTGTAATGTGAAATTTCTTTCCAAAAAGGAACAACATCGTCACCTGCAAGTACGAAATTAAACATTAAACCCAAAAAGCCGCGAATATAAACATGTATTTTCAGTCAGTTACTACAAACCTTTCGAAATTGGCGGTAACTGAGTGGACGCAACACGCAACATTATGATGTTCCTGGACATGAGACTCCCCCACAACATTATATTCTAGGATTTGAGTTTCAGGAATACCACATTCATCATCGTTGTCTGAAGCGCTAGCATCCTCAGCAAGAAGTTGATCTTTCATTGCAATATTTTCATCATCGTCATCCTCACCATCATCTTCCATAACCCAGGTAGGGTCATTTTCTCCTTTCTCAGACAAATTAACAACTGGAGGAGCAGATGATGATGCATTATGTGCAAAATTTAAATCAACTGACCTCACGGGTATAACAACATTCTGTGCTTGCAATATCCACGTATAACTCTAAAAAATCTTTCCTTGACTGGTTGAAAAACTCTCTGATTACCATTACTACGTCTTCATCGTCAACAACTTGCATACTAATGTATTGTGATTCACGCCATATTCTTGCAGTGACCATATTGATAGATTGTTTACCTTCAAGCACTAACTTTTGATGAATTTTTTGATGTAGGTCGCTAATTGTTGAGTTTCGCATGATACGTGTTGGCCTTTTCTTGCCTTCAAAAATGACACCACGTCAACCTTCTATTTTTCTACCATTATAATATAAAACAACACGAACAAAATCAGAATGTGAACTCATTCTTAACTATATTAATAAAGGAAAACACAAAACAGAGTATGCATAAGCAAGTGAGACTGTATCGAAGACTAAGAAGTTAAGATGTAGAAGAGTGGTGACGAATGTGGAGATGAGAGGTGTTTATATAAGGAAATAAGTGGCATTCACGCCCAAAGTGCGTAGGAAAGGTCCTTGAGTCACGCCTAGATGAGGCTGTAATTTCCATTGATTCACTCATCACGCCCATTTTGGGCGTGAATTGTCCCGCCCATTTTGGGCGTGAATGACTGCTATAAATCCGAAAATAGTTTTCAAACTGTAACCTATTCGTAATTAATTATTAAAATAGTAATATTTTAATTTTTTTGCCTGTAACCTCCACTTATTTGTGTCATATTAAATTATTCAACAAACAAAAAAATTATACAAACTTAATGTATTTGTTGAAACATCATTAACTATTACATATTTTAATACTATTACAACATAATTAAGCAACAATAATTTATAGATAGGGGTATAAATAAAGGGAAAACTTTTTAATATTTTAAAGGATATAAATTTCGTCATTTTAGCTGCTTATAAATGATAGCTAAAATAATTTAGAGATAAGAGTACATAATTATAGTATTAAAGTTGTACTTTTTTTCAATTTTTACGTCAGCCAACAGCTTGTGAGGAGAGAGAAAAATACAACTTTAATATTATAACTATGTGCTCCCCTGAAATACAGTGTTGTAAGCAGCTAAAATGACACAACTTACATTCTTTAAAATGACAAACCATTTTTCCATAAATAAATTAGGCTGGACCAGACTTTTGGGCGTCAATCAACGGTTAGAAAATAGGTCAAACCTGTGTAAATATTTAGAACTTAACCTCATCTAGACAATATTTAAAAAATAAAAAACCTAGCCTACACTAGGCCTGTTTATGCCTACTAGGCATTCAAAAATTAAAATAATATTATTTTATTATTTAAAGTTAGTTAAATAATATTTTATTTCAAACAAATAATATAATATATGCCAGTAAGCTAATAAGTTTAAGTCTTATAAAAGAAAATTTATGACCTATCCTCTAAATAAACTCTTTTAATACTTAAATCTGTTTTATTTTACTAGATATAATAATCCAGGTCATAGGTCCTGATAAACTATTAGACCCATTTACATCTCTATTTATATGAACTTCATGTATCATGTCATCTTCATGCAAAAAGAAAAAAAAAACTCAAACTATGATATTCATAGTCAAAAAAGCCTACCACAATTGTTTCTGTTTAATTTTAAAATATCTTTTCATAAATTTAAATTATAAATTATTTGAAATATATAATAAGTTAATCCGTGCATAATTTATTAGTTTTATGTCAAGCTTAGTTTTTAGAACTAAAAATGGGTCTAAGTTTAGAGTAGAAATAGTTACATACATATTTTCTTTTTCAAATCAATATGCACCTCAAGCTCATGGATACTTGAGAAAGAATTTCCTCTCGATACCAACTCGGCGACAAGAAGGCGGACATTGAGCGCAAGGAGTAGGCAGAGGAAGCAACAAGAGCTCATTTAGCCGCACGTAAAGGAGCTCAGCACTTTACCGAAGAAGCTACGATTGAGCGCGCTAGCGCTAGCCGTAGCTTCTTCCGCTTCTCCCTGCGGCCAAAAAGGAAATTCCAGGCTTATAATGGGTAAAGCCAGTAATCTCCTTAACAGTACTCGACCTTCAGTAACTACAGTTAGCAGGGACCGGGGATCCATCCAATAAAAATCCAATAGCTTACAGAGATCGAGATAGCCTCGTAAGCATGATTCTTAGTCTCGTGGTTGAGATCCGTGAGCGAGACCCAAGCAAGCAGGAGAAGCAAAGGCATTATTGAAAGACTTCCTTTGCCCACTTCACGGGAGAACCGGGAGGAAATTTAATCAAATGTGAAGCAATAATGAATTTTTCTGTGATATTTAAATACATTTCATCTTTAGACATGTTGAAGAAATAATACTTAATCCTCTTCTTTTGAAGGGCATTACAGATATACAAAAAAAGGACAATGATAAAAAAAATGATATCCCAGTGGTGGGCACATAAAGTATTGTCAACACTAAGCTATATACTATTATAAATGTAATGCTAAAACAATCATAATACTACTTTAGAAACGCCAGTAGTAGAACATTAGAAAAATCCATAATTAGATATATTTAGAATTACCCCAAAAACCAATACTTGTAGTCTTAATTTATGTCAATTAATACATATAAAAGCAACAAAGTTCAAGAGATACAATGGCTCCTAGCATATCCTAATTGTTTTTCTTCTTTTACAGACAGAACGTTGTATCGTTTTTAGCACCGTCCACAAAAGTCATAAGAAGATAAATATCATAATCACACCACTTGTTTTGAAGTCATTAAGGGTGTGTTTGGTTGAGGTTTTATTTTGAGATAGATGGGAAAGTGTGGATAGGTATCCCAAAATGCTATGTTTGGTACAAGTTTATGAAAAAAAAAGTCTAGGAAAGAAGTTTGCATAGGAAACCATATTTCAGTTGATTTTGTGCTCAAATTCACTGTTTAAGAATACCTCTTGAGATGTGGTATTTATGGAAAACTAGGGAAGTAGAAAACTGAGAGTGGCTAGGTAAAATTACTATCCCGTTAATTAGATTGGCTAGGTAATTAGATGGCTCGGTAATTATCTATAGTGATGAACTAAAGGAAACATCTTAAAATGATTGATCAATTGTAGGATTACTGATGTATTGTACTTGTTTGTTTAACACTGAATTTATTCCCTGAAAAGAATATGGCAGTGCAATGATCTTATCACGGTGAATCAAATTTTTCCTTAAGGAATATCGATGAAATGCAAGGAAAAAAAAACTTTTTTTATTTTGGAAAGAAACAAAGGGTTCTATTCTAAACAGGGATCTGTGACAAATATCTGGGCATACAGGTTCGTATCTATCTCAGAAGCATCCTGAAAAGGGATTTGGAAATCTTTAGACTTGGAAAAGGACAGAGCAATGTCTGCTATATGCTGAGTCAAATCATTAACTTCAAATACTCCTTTTGTCCACTTCAGAATTTCTTCAATATCATCAGCGTACAAATTATCAAAAAGTTCATCACTATCTAACACTAGAATATTCCCTGCCTTTACTGAAATCTCATACTCATATGCAGAGTCAGAGCTGTCACTAATCTCACTATTCCCCAACTAAAATGGTGTTGAAAGAGTGATGCTGGATGGGTGATTGAAACAAAAGCGTATTATTTCTAAACAGCATTAAACCATTATCACCCACATTAATTCCATGCAACACCCCTTCTTTCAGAGTAACAATAGATGCGGTAGATGATCCTTTTGCTTTGGTATTCAAGAAAGCATCATTTAACACTTTTCTTGGATCAACAAAGCCTTTGATCGAAGTTGAAAGGCATTCATAGCTTCTGTCATGAGCTCTCTGGCATATTCACCAGCATCGATTCGTTTCTTGGCCCAACCACCGACCCCATCAGCCACACCCATGGTTTGCTGTTCCTCACAGATGAAGAATGCATCTTCTCCCATTGGTTTCTTTGGGTTATCCTTTGGATAGTAGAATTTCCCAGCAACCATCTTCAACACCTTCAACCGTTTCTTTGGCTTCTCTCTGGCAACAACGTATTTATCACGAAGACGCTTCTTGATAATCATCGTCGACTCGAAGGTTTCATATTTCAAAGAAAAGAAAAGATGGTGCAGAGAAAGAAAGAAACAAGTGTGAGTTTGATAAAAGAGATATGTAGTGAAAAAATTGTAAAATACAGGTATTGTAAAACTAAACTGAAATGTCCTCCGATGTCAGAATATGACCGCAGGGTGTGCTTTTTTAGAAGATTATAAGGAATCATGTTTTAATTTCTCAGCATGATTCTGTATAGTTTCACAAATCACTGAAACTTTCTTTGAAATTAAAACATGATTCCTTATAATCTGTATAAAGAAAGCACACCCTGCGGTCATATTCTAACATCGGAGGACATTTCAGTTTAGTTTTACAATACCTGTATTTTACAATTTTTTCACTACATATCTCTTTTATCAAACCCACACTTGTTTCTTTCTTTCTCTGCACCATCTTTTCTTTTCTTTGAAATTTGAAACCTTCGAGTCGACGATGATTATCAAGAAGCGTCTTCGTGATAAATACGTTGTTGCCAGAGAGAAGCCAAAGAAACGGTTGAAGGTGTTGAAGATGGTTGTTGGGAAATTCTACTATCCAAAGGATAACCCAAAGAAACCAATGGGAGAAGATGCATTCTTCATCTGTGAGGAACAGCAAACCATGGGTGTGGCTGATGGGGTCGGTGGTTGGGCCAAGAAACGAATCGATGCTGGTGAATATGCCAGAGAGCTCATGACAGAAGCTATGAATGCTGTTCAACTTCGATCAAAGGCTTTGTTGATCCAAGAAAAGTGTTAAATGATGCTTTCTTGAATACCAAAGCAAAAGGATCATCTACCGAATCTATTGTTACTCTGAAAGAAGAGGTGTTGCATGGAATTAATGTGGGTGATAGTGGTTTAATGCTGTTTAGAAATAATAGGCTTTTGTTTCAATCACTCATCCAGCAGCACTCTTTCAACACACCATTTCAGTTGGGGAATAGGGAGATTAATGACAGCCCTGACTCTGCATATGAGTATGAGATTTCAGTAAAGGCAGGGGAATTCTAGTGTTAGGTAGTGATGGACTTTTTGATAATTTGTACGCGGATGATATTGAAGAAATTCTGATGTGAACGAAAGGAGTATTTGAAGTTAATGATTTGACTCAGCATATAGCAAACATTGCTCTGTCCTTTTCCAAGTCTAAAGATTTTCAAACCCCTTTTCAGGATGTTTCTAAGAGAGATATGAACCTGTATTTCCAGATATTTATCTGGATCCTTGTTTAGAATAGAACCCTTTGTTTCTTTCCAAAATAAAAAAAGTTTTTTTTTCTTGAATTTCATCGATATTCCTTAAGGAAAAATTTGATTCACCGTGATAAGATCATTGCACTAAGAGTGCCATATTCTTTTCAGGCAATAAATTCAGTGTTGAACAAACAAGTACAAGTACATCAGTAATCCTACAATAGATAATTACCGAGCCATCTAATTACCTAGCCAATCTAATTAACGAGATAATAATTTTACCTAGCCACTCTCAGTTTTTTACTTCTCTAGTTTTCCATAAATACCACATCTCAAGAGGTATTCTTAAACAGTGAATTTGAGCACAAAATCAACTGAAATATGATTTCCTATGCAAACTTCTTTCCTAGACATCTATCTCAAAATAAAACCTCAACCAAACACACCCTAAGGAAATTCTCAGCAACGTGTATCATAGTAGCCTTTCTAATCCCTTTATATGTCTATGATTTTCAACAGCCCCAATATCTCCTCCTTCCGGTAACTCTCGCAAAAAGTCATAAATAACTTTCTGACAAAGATAATTATCTTATGTTGTATGAGATAAGCCTTTCTAATCCTTTTATATGTCTATGATTTCCAACAGCCCCAATATCTCCTCCTTCCGGTAACTCTCGCAAAAAGTCATAAATAACTTTCTAACAAAGATAATTATCTTATGTTGTATGAGATAATTATTTCATGTAACAAAGATAAAATAGTAGGATCTACTATTTTTTACTTTTTAAATAGTAGATCTCACTAAATTGAAATTGTCTCTGTTACCTGAAATAATTATCTCATGTAACATGAGATAAATAAACTCCTAAACTGAATCAAGCAAATTTCTAAAAGTACTACATGAAACAAAATTTTCTTCATTCACCCATTAGAATTTAGACATTCAAAACACAGACTCAGCCATAAGGCATTTCAGCATACAGCTTGCGTGCAACCAGAACAAACACTAAATTAAAAGAGCAAATCAATATACATGAATAAAATTCTCAAATCACTTTACCAAAGTTTCTCTATACACTATTAACAAAGGAAAAAAAGGGGCTACAATACTCATAGTTGAGGTGAACAGTATTTTATTTGAAGCGAACAGCTACTAATATGGAGTCCTATCTACAGAAGTGAACAACAACTAGCATTTGCCATTAATTAAATAGATTTCGCAATAAACTACTACAATTCAACTTCAACTGGTATAAACAATACTTGATCGGATTACCAAAAAAAATCGTTAATAAATTATTTTCAAATGCAAAATTAAATAAATAAATAGTAAAATATTTATTTTGGTTATAAATAATCACAAGATCCAAGAGCCTTATTTATAAAAATTTAAAAAATAAATGTGCTTGAGCTTACTAGACCAGCTTCAGAGAAAATCTCAGCAAGTCTGAAGAGCAAAAGCATTCTATTTACGAGCAGTTTAACACCTCTCGTGCCATTTAATCGTGGCAAGTAGGCTGCCTGAATTACCACTCGATAATTATTTCTTCAATTTCTCCAATTTTCACACTCTTTAAAAAAGAATGACTCAAATAAAAAAATTAAAAAAAAAATGTATCAACCTTACCAAAGAGATCGGCTAGATTCATTGAATAAACTTCGTACCGAAAATTGGTAAAAATGTTGACTGAATTTTGTATAGGGTGCTGCATTCATCTCTAAGGCACAGGTTTATAAAGCCAAAGAGCCAAACTCCAGCCCCTTATGTCTATCTACGTATCTAGGAGAAAACACATAGAACACACATCAAACACAGGTATCAATCAGATTGAAACCTAAAACAGAATCCTGAAACAAACACAAAGGCAACATTCCTTTCAACCGCAACAGAACATCTCCGCTTCTTGTTAACCCTAAGCCCTAGAAAGGTGGGTGAATTTAACCCCCTTTCTTTATTTTCTGTAGCCTACAAATTTGAATTTCGAATCGCAAAGCAACATAACAGAATAAAAACATCCGATAAATTGTAAAATGATAGACAAACACTAAGGTTGAGAGTTGAGAGTTGAGAGTAGAGAGAAGCTCAGATAGATGTGGATAATTCCATTCCCAGACCTTTAAAAAGGCCTCATAATGAGCTGGGATTCACATTAATCCTCATTGCTATTGGAAAATTGAAGGTGAATGAAAACCAACACTACCAACAATGTATAATAAACAAGAGACATCCAAAACGAAGATTTTATAACAAATCATATAACAAAATTGATCAGAGATTCAAAGGTAAAGAAGATCGAACTAACGAACTAGGGACAAAAATCTTACGGAACGCAATGCAAGTATTGCTACTGTGTCTTCTATTTGGGATAGCAATTGGCAATGGCAAATGAGGTTTTTAAAGAGAGCGGCGACTATACAGCTAGGGTTACATGATGGGGCAAAAAAAACCCGTTTCCGATTTTGCCCCAACAAAGTACAAACAAAAGTAACACAAAAATACAAAGGTAAGGATGTTACGGCCCATATGTGGAGAGTAGTTATGACCGTTTGGGCCTTATTTCAATTCCCTCAACTATTAGCCCACCTTTCAAGTGCACCCCTTTGACCTCCTTGAGGCACATTCTCACCTCTTGATCTGATTCTGTGGAGAAACTCCCCAATTCAATCTCCAACCATCCATCTTCTGCCTCACGATGGAAATCACAAGAGACTTTCCCGTTTCTTTTGGAATGTGAACGTATATAAACAGACCCTTGTGATTTGTAATTGCCAAACTCCACTGACACCTCGGATGGTAACGAATCTAACCCGTAAGCACGATCCGCGATTTTCACTTTCAGATACGCTCCGTATGTTGTTTCAGGAGATAGCATTCCACTGTTTATGCTGCCCTTGATTTCTAGCCAGCAAATGGTTCTCAGTTCTGCAGCTTCAGCAAATCTACACACAAAGATACCAAAGTGGGGTGGGGGTGTGACTATGCAATAATTTGTTCACTTTTAAGCCATTAAAATTGATCCAGTCATAGGAATTTTAATAATTTATATGTTCAATTTTCAAATTACATAAAAAAAAAAAAAAAATTGTTCACTTTTATTTAACTCATAACTAACCCTTCAACAAAGTATCCTTTTAAAAAAAAATGAGCATCTAAGTTAAAGTATTAGGATGGCATATGTACAAGTACAAGAACAGATTTTGTTTTAGTTGAGTATGAACTGAAGTTATAGTCCGGGGCGAAAAGAAATAAAATTAGAAATTATAAAGAAAAAGAAAAACACTTGTTAGATAATTGGGATAATTCATGAACCTTGAGCCTTGAACTGGTTTCCAGGACCAATACAGAGGGCTGTCTCCCCACGCAATTGAAAGCTGCCGTGCGCTCAACAGGTAACATACTTTGCCTGTTGTTTTGTCAATCGAGAACATCTGTTTCAATGACGAGGTAATTTTAGTACGGTCATAAATCCTTGAGATTATTATTATAGGAAAAGAGTTTATCCATTTAAATGGTACAATTTATATTATTTTACTTTCACAAAAAGGTGGTGCCTACACTTTTATTTTTTATTTTTGTCAACTCTCTCATTCTTTATCTATCTCTTTCTCTCTTTTAAAATGACACAAGTTTACATCCTTTAAAATGACACACATTTTTTTCTATTATTATTATCCCTCCCTGAGTAACGAATAACAATTTTTTATTGTTCTTATTTTCTAAGATCGGTGACTTCATTGTTATTTAGTATTTTTATATTTTTCTAACTTAAATTAATTTATTGATTATTTTTATCTTTTTATATTAAATTTTTTCTTAGAGTTAACTCGTTGTATTTTAAAAATTATTATTTATTTAAAAAATCTCCTTAAATTTCAGTTGTTTATGATACTAGATTAAAATTTTCAATTTTTTTTTAATTTCTATTTTATTTATTTCCAAATCTCAATCACTCCACCTTTATATATTAAATTAGTGTAAAATAAATTGAGAGTAACTTTATTTTTTATACTAATCTCTCTAACAGAATCACACTTTTCATTCTAATTTTTTTTTAAGGTTTAAAGTCAAATTCTTTTAAATTAATTATGCATATTGTTTTGTATTTTTTAAAATTTTGTTTTTATTATTCTCTTTAAATTTTACTTAAATTTAAAATACCTATATAAAAAACTTCCTAATTATTAATATTTATGATTATCGTACAAATTAGAAAGGAAGTATAAATTATTTTTTCAAAAATTATTCTAGACTTCAAAGAAATAGACATTTGAAAAATCTGGTAATGTATATTTAAATTTAATGTCTATTCCGTCAGAATACTTTTTAAAAAAAAAAAAGTAATGTAAACTTTCATTCATCCTTTAACAATTTTTGTTTATTTTTTAAAACCCGGTAAACTCAAAATCATGGAAGGTGATTGAGCATCCACAGCCAGCGGAGCAAATATGAATCATATTTTAAATATGAATTCACTATTTAAAAAATAGGTCATTATTTAAAAAATAGGATTCATATTTTTATTCTTTGAAAATATGATTCATATTTGCTCCACCGCCTGAGCATGCATAATCAACCTTAAGCTAACAATAATTGCATTATGTTGCAATTTTTGTACTTTGATGCATGCATTATATCTATATATATATATATATATATATATATATATATATATATGAAAAATTAAAAATTTAGTCATTGGACCGTTCGCGAGAACTTAGTGCAATAAATATTACAATGGTGTTCTTCAGTGTTCTCCCAGGAAAACATATTATAAATTTTACTATAAATGTGTTCTCGCGGGAGAACATAACTCACTAAACTCATATATATATTGTAAAATTATATTAAAACACAATATATATTACATTTATTATAGATATTCTTGCATATCCCATTAAATATCTACAATATAATTAAGAATTTGTGAAAGAATGTTCTCAGGATAATAGAGAGCATTAATTATTTACCAAAAAAAAAAAAAAAAAAGAGCATTAATTAAATTATGCTAGAGTTAACAAAATTCCTATTACTCTTGGTTTTGAACTGGAAAAAACGTGAGCAAAATATTGATGAAAAACTGAATTTGTTTACAAAAGATATCCTTCGTTGATATCGTTTATTTACGAGTATAAATGAGCTGGGCCGATGCAAACTTTAGCTTAAACGAGTCAAGTCTATAAAAAATAATTTAAGCTTAGTTTGGCTCATTAGTATGGTACAAGCTAAATTCTAGATTTGACTTTGTTTATTTATGAAAAATTAAAGAACTCGTTTATAATTATAAAATATATTTTTTTCAAATTAACGTAAAAAATTAGGGTAAAGTCATGAAAATGTAAGTGACGGGAGGAGAGAAGGAGAAACCAATAATCAAAAAGTTTGTTTGTGAAACTATGATAGTAAGAGAATGCTAGTAAACAATCCTAAAAAATAGGGTTAAAAAAATAAATTTAATGATTTAATGACATAAAAATATATTATTTATTATAATATTATATTAGAGCAGCTCGTGAGCTTTCAGATCAAGCCTCATCAAATTAGTCAAGTTTTTTTTTTAAATTTTAAGCCATTTTATTTAGGGATATATTTTTCTTATGTTGTAGGAAAAAATTATCTCATGTTGTAGAAATAAAAGTATAAGTGAGACCCATAGAGAAGAGGAGAGAAAAAAAAAAGTAGTGAGACCCAACTTATTTTTGTATGTGTAGGAGAGTTGTTTATCTCATGTAAAATGAGATAAACATAACCCTTTTATTTATTAAACAAGACATATCAAATCAAGTTTAAAAGCAAATCAAGCCTTCGACGTTGATAAGTCGCTTTACTCATTACCCCCACGCCTATCGGTTATCAATTTATCATGATTTACTCATCCATACGCCGAGAATTGAAAAAAAATAAAAATATAGTTATGCATTATACACAGAAACAAACTATAAACGAATTATTTTGCAAAAGATGATCTTATACGTAATAGTAAGTATTTTATTAAATTTTTAATAATTAACATATGTTTCTATACATTTTTATACAAAAGGTCATAGCCATAATAAGATTTGCAATTTTTTAAATCATTAATTTTAAATCTTAAAAAGTTACATAAATCACTACATCATTAATTTTAAATCACGTGTTACACACATTAAGTGGTACCTCAATTTGCCACATTTTCAAAAGCTCTGTCGTTTCTCCCTTTTTCTTTTTTGTTATTGATTGAATGTGAGAGCTTAATTTAACACTACTTCTGTGCGCACTTAAACTTACTAAAAACATGTTGCATGCTTGCAAATTTTAAAGACCGATAGCAAATGTAAAAGGCGTTGGTAGAGTTTGTAAACTCTTCAATAGAGAATTTACAGTCGACCAATTTGTGATTATGCTACGAGCCTTCTGAATTTGCTATCATGCTACCAAAAAACAAAAACAAAAAAACGAGAACAGAATCGTACCTACTTGAGCATGTCCACCATGTTGTGTTAAACAGCAAATATTAGAAATAAAAGACATTATTATCAGAAATTACCTTGTTACCGTCGTCAATTAGTTGTGGTTTACATAACCTGACAAACAACTCTTTCATCGACGAACACTGCAAAGGGGACCCACCAGCCTAGAAACAATTCCTTGATAATTAATTGGCAAAAATTTCTCCCACACAGCATCTGAATCTGCCATGGACTGCACTATCGAGGAGATTAGAGAGGACCGACACACGTCCTGAGGGGATGTAAATGACAAAATGGGTGCAAAACAATCCTCGGACAAAAGTTCCATACTAACCCTTCCCCCTTCACCGCACTGCGTGTGTTAATTATTTAAAAAGAAAGAAAGTATAAAAGAGACTAAATCAAAAATTTCAAGGGGCACCGTTGCATCACAATGGGCAAGTTCTACTTCTATATATAATACAATATTTGTGGGACACGGTTGTTCAATACTATCGCTAGTATGACGACATTTTGTTTTGAATCTGAATAAATATGTCAACATGGAGTCATGAGATGAGCACATCCAACAAATCAGATTACAATCCTCCATTTTGAACGTGAATAACTCAGACGGTCACGGTACAAACAAAACAGTGGACACAATTACACGCATCCATTTTATTAGAAAATAAATTCTGAAAAATTAAATAAATCTATCTTCCAATCTCCACCTCACCTTCACATCATCACGAAATATATATATACATTAAGGTAAAATTTCTACAAAAGACAGTAAATATTCTGATATTAAATTTTTACATCATCTCATTCTTGACAAGTTTTTACAGAGAGACCGTGAGCCGTTCATGTTTTTCGTCACGTGTTTTATGATGATTGAATTTGTTTAGGTCTCACTTCGATGCCTTCAAGGATAAGGCCTCCTTTCAATTGATACCCCACTTCCATGAGGCTCATCTTGATCTCTTCATCACCGTCACCACTGAAGAATTCCCCGAGTTCAATCTCCATCCACCCATCATCTCTTTTGGATGGAAGTAGGATCCCAATATCTTCTTGGTCCCGTATCGCTGTGTTTCTCAATATCTCTCTTCGGCTACCATAAAACAAGGTCTCCATCTGAACCTTACTCTCATCTTTGGGGCCCAAGTATGCCTTCCCTCTTTGCACTTTGTTTCCCACCACAACTGATACCTCGGACGGTGAAGAGTCAAGCCCATACGCTCGATGCGAAACATTCATTATGAGATAAGCCCCATATGACGTGTTCGGCGTTAGAATTCGTGTTCTTATTTTGCCTTCAATTTCTAACCAGTCCACTGTTCTCAGCTCAGCCGCTTCTCGGAATCTGCAAAATTATTAAAATTCTCGTTTAACATTTTCATCTCTCAATAATTTTTTTATTTTTTAAAATATTACAATTGGTTCATCTTATTCTGAGCGGATCCAGAATTAAGACTTTAAACCCTTCTCAAAAGTGATACTGGACAGATTCGAACACATGCTCTCACCCCACCTATTAACGCCAACTGAACTATCATCATTTGGTATCTCTTAATAATTTTGTATCCTACACATTACCTTGATTCAGGGGTGGGTTTCCAGCTCCATAAGATTGGCTCGCTGCTCCATGCTATTGAAAGTTCCCTTGCAGAAAGGATATAAGATTTTTTACCTGAAGACTTGTCCAATTTAAAACTCTGTATGTAACAGGGGACAGAACAGAGTAAAATTCAGAAACTAAGAAAAAATTGGAAGCAAAGGATGGCATGAATTGAGAGAAGGAAGCGTACCTTGCTGCCACCGTCAAGGAGAAAGGGGTGGCATAGTGAATAGAAGAGTTTCTTGTATGAAGAGAAATTGAGGGTGAGGGGATTCACAATCCTTGAGACAATGTCCTCGTAATCAGAAGGCAAGAAGCTCCTCCAAACCATGTCAGAATCCGCGGCTGAACGAAGGGTGGTTGAGACCAATGAAAATCTACATGCCTCTGGTGGAGATGTGTACGATAAGATTGCACATACACAATCTTCCGGCAATGATTCTATGTTGGAGCAAGATGCCATGTGATTCATGAAAACAGTCGATGTTGTCTGAATGTCTTCCCTTCCCCCTGACAAGGACAATAAAGGAAATATAGATATTCTACCTTGTAGCTTGGTATTTTAAGCATAACATCGATGTAATGTAAGAAAAACCAGACACACTATTGTGCCAGCGGGTTTTGCAAAGGTTTAAAGATCAGGGGGCTTTCATTTTCCTTTAAATAGCCAAGGCAACTTTTACAGTTGCCGGTATTTAAAAAGTTTCATGTTGCTTGTGATAACAAGGACTTGTGAATATAATAATCAATTGGCCCACGGTCAATTAGTGTAGACGGACTTCATTGTGCCTCAGCACACGGCTTGCACTCTACACATCATAGACAGATTTTTCAAGCGGTCGTGTATGTTTAAATAAATAAATGAGAGGATTCATTATTAGCAACACTTTTACCCTTGAAGGTTATAGGATGTAACGGATCTGGATGCTCTAATGCGAAAATTCACATGATCATGTTATGTGGGAGAATCATAACCATATAAAGGTGGATCAATGGTAATAAAGGAGGAGAGAGAAAAAATATTAAAATAAGTAGTTACGAAATCATAACCGTTGGTTTACCTTCATATGGTTGTGATTTTCCCACATGACTATATCATGTTATTTTTTTCACATGAGAGGATCCATTTCGAGGATGTAACACTTTTGTAATAAATTAAACTAAATTATAAGTTAAATGTCAGAACTACTCTAATTAAAGCAAAATTCTAAGTTTATTTGTGCACATAAATATAGGAAAAAATGTCTCCTTTTTTACAGCAGAAATATAAACATTAAATCTATAAATATAACTACAATTGAAATAAATTTATAACAAATATTTCCATGTTCTTATGCCAAATTTATAACAATCTGTCGGTTTCGGTTAGCTCTTGATGCTAACATATAGAATTAGGCAAACAACGGATGAATATAAACACATCTTTATTAATGTTAGCACTACGCATATAGCAGGTAACAAAAATGGCCCCGACTTAACCTTCACAACTGACAGCATCATGAAAATTCAGTAATTCTGAAAGCAGTTATAATATACAATTATTAAGGAAGGATGATTTCACTCTAACATAAGATTAAAAAGTTTTACTTTCTCGTTCTAACCATTAATTTTTATCTATCTCACGGTTATAATTTATTAAATTTTATATATTAATTAATTATTAATTTAAAATAAATTATTGTTATAAGATGGATAGAAACCCAAGACTAAGATTAGAGGTGGCAAAGTAGGCGGCCTATTCTGTCCCGTCATTCACCCTCCAAAAAATGAGTCGGTCCATCTTGCCCCATTTTTGAAAGTAGGCTAAAAAATTTGGCCCGCCAGCCCGAATCTATTTTACACTGACCCGCCTCGGCTCACCCCTCCCCGTCATCAACTCGTCAAAAAATAAGTCTGTCCCGCTTTTAAGAGTGGGTTGTAAAACTCAACCCGCCCGCCAATCGACCCACTGAACCGAGCCCGTTTTACGGCCCTAACTGGGATTGAGAATAACACTTCTTATTCTTTTATCGGAGTTAAAAGATATGATCTTCCCTCAAATTATTAATAATTTTATAGTTAAATGTTTAATGTGATCAAATTAGTTGCTTAGCACAGTATTAAACTGGTTGCAATTTCGATATCATTGTCTAATTTTACTAATAAATAATTAAATATTATAAAATTTCTTAACAAAAGTAAATAGTAAGTATGTGTATCGTTCACTTTTCAATATAATTACAATAAATTGAAGTGATAAGTTTGAAATCAGTTAAAGTTATATTCAATATAATCATAAGGATGAAAGTGCAGTTTTTTCTAATATCTTTTATTAAATATTTTTATTAAAAAAGAGACAAATACTTTTCCGATTATCATTATATTAAATTCTTTAGTTTTATTCAATTTTTTTTTTTTTACTTATCCAAATAACACAATTAACAAATTCAACAAAATAAAGGTTATGCAGTCAAATATGTGATGCTGCGTTTATTCTATGTGATAATGATGATGTAGTGAAAACTAGAGATCATACTATTTGTTCAAAGGTTCTAAATTCTCATACCATAGCAAAGCCAGTGTGTGTTTTCGCGCGAGATGATGCTATGTTGCTATGTTTTATGAGTATTTAGAGCCTGTTCTTTACTTCTTTTGGACTTATAGAAAAAGTAGTTGTATTTTTTATAAGCATTAAAGTTATTTATATTTTTATAAAAAAAATTAGTTTTTGATTTCAACTTTTTTTAAAAGTTAAAATTTTTAATTTCTTAAAAAAAAAAAAAATTGTAGCTTTTTTAGACTTTTACTTTTTAAAAAATAGACATTCAAACGAATTTAAAAATAAAAAATATTTTTTTAAAAAAAAATCAATTTTTGAAAAGAAAAAAAATTCATCCAATCAACCCTTAATAAGTCGATCCAACCCGAACATCACACACGGGACAAATTTGATCATCATGACGATGTTCTGACAAGACTAACATTTCTGCACGCTCGTATATTCGACTAACCCAAACGGAGGATACCAAGTGACATCTGACCGTATCCAATATTACTTTAATTTGAATTAATTAATAAGTCAACACAAATAAAAAGGACTAATGATTTTATATTAACCCCTTTATGACTGACAATCTTGTCTACGTTCAAAACTTCAAATTTCTATCTCGGCTGCAATTGGAAGAAGCTGAAACTGCTGAAGAATGGGTCTTTTTTATCTCTCACTTTGTCTCTGCTATTGACGTATACATGATCTCAAGAGTAATGACGGTATTTTTTTTTTTATAATAACGTCAATCGTGATCAATACTATTTATTTCTTTTTAATAAATCACACGTATTACAAAAAATAATTTTATTTAAAATAAATTTAGGATTAAAATTTTAAATTACTTTTAAAAATGGTACTGAGATCAAACACATATTTTTTTTTCTTTTATCAGTACTTTTAAGCACTATTATGAAACTCGGACCGATCCGACCGAGTTGATCCGAGAACCGGTAAACTGATCATATAACCGGTCCGGTTGAAGCAACGGACCGGTTATGCATCAGAACCGATCCGACCCGGCCGATTTTCATGAAAATCGGTGATCCGGTCGGTTAACCGGTGACCTGCCTGGTCTAAAAAAAAATCTAAATTTTTTTTTTCAAAAAAAAAAATCATAATGGACATGTTTGAATATTTTTTTACTTATTGACTTACATAAGTTATATACCAACAACACTAATATTGACTCAATTATATACTATGCAGAAAATTTTGATTTGATTTATAATTAGAGATGTCTTTTTCTTAATCTAAAGTCCTGTATCACGATCATTATATTTTTGTTTGATTTTTTATTGGATAATAATATGTCATTTATTATTTTTTATATTAAAATATTTGAAATTTTTATCATTTTTTTATAGATATTTGAGTATGTTTATAATTTTTTAATATAAATTATAAAATCACATATAATTACCGAGTCATGCGGTTGAACCTGTGACCTACTGGTTGAACCAGTGACCCAGTACCTCAACTGGGTCAATGATCGGACTGGTTTTAATAACATTGCTTTTAAGTCACGTATTAACAAGTTTCAGAAAATATATATAGTCAAATACGGGATAATATAAGTTGGGGGCTACTTCTATTTTATTTTATTTTTTTAATTATTTACTGACTTCGTCTTAACTTTCACTCCTCAAATACGATACTATCATCCATAAGAACTTTATACAATGTTTATATTCAATTTGTCCTAGCGGATAATTAATTGATAAATACCACATCCCAATATTCAGGCATGATTAAGGCTTATCAAATCAAATAACTAATTTATTAGCACATATTTTGGTTTTATTATATAATTCATAGTACTGGGATATGTTCCAATTTAGTGAATTTGCCTGCTGTCAGTACCGTAACGGATCAAATATAATCTAATAGTGTAAATATTACATTGCGTTGGGATTTCAAATACGATTGATAAGGAATGGACTAATTAAGCATAGTAGATATAAGGGACAGATTTGATATCGAATCCTCTTATTGTTGGTTTATTGCTTCGTCCCATTTAACGCGTAAATGATATTCTTCCTTGAGCTTGTGGAAATTTAACTATTTAAGTAAAAAAAATTGATATGAGTTGAGATGCGATGCAGACTCATTGTGAATTTGTCGGTTATTTCCCTAATCTGGGCTACCCCACAGCTGCCCAACACATTGCAATTGCATCGCGTTTTTCAGGTGAGTATTCTTCGCCTTTCATCTTAGATAGGTGCTTTTCACATTCATGTTCTAAAATAGCAGGCAACAGTTCGTTTCATGACCGGATTTTTATTTATTTTGTTTCAGCTTTTCTGCTTTCGAATCTCAAGGTGCTTCTAATTGGTTATTTTCTTTCTTTCGTTAGCTGTGTTAGCAATCTAAAGAACGCCTACTCCCACGATCCAAATCAAGTGGCTGCCCGATAAGCCCCATCCAGTTAATATGTGGAGTATACATGATTTCATAATATATATATGGGTTTTATAAGAGTTATGTTGTAGGAAAAGTGATTGTGTTATGTTATAGAGATTCGTTTTGCGTGCCAGATTTTTTTTTTTTTTTTTGCTGCGGGCCCCACAAAATGTTGTGTGTGTAGAAAAAATTTTGTGGTCATGTTAAATGATAGATGATAAACCCTATATATATATATATATATATATGATTTTATTACTCTCATGTTAAAGGAAAAGAAAAGAAAAAAAGTGACACAGTTATCGAAGGGTGTATAGGAAAAAAAAGTTATTTCATGTAACATGAGAATAATTTTTCATATATATATATATATATATATATATATGGCTTCGCTTTTTCTGCACTTACTGCAGATAAGTTATCTGCAGTAAGCCCAATACGACGTCGTTTTGGGCGAAAATCATGGTGTTTTTATAAATTTTTTTATTTCAGAGTTATAATAGTCTTTATATTTATAATTTTTAAAGATTTTA